CATCTATAAATATATTAAACAACCATGGTGATATTACATGTCCCTGTCTAAGACCTACTTTTACTGGGAAGTAGTCTCCCTCTCTTCTACATACCCTAAGCTGAGCCTCACTATCCTCATAAAAACTCTTTACAGTATTTTGTAACTTACCACCTATTCCATATACTTGCATAATCTGCCACATTGCTCCCCTATTCACTGTATCCTATGCCTTTCCTAAATCCATAAATGCAATAAAAACTTCCCTACCTTTATCTAAATACTGTTCACATATATGCTTCAATGTAAACACTTGATCTACACATCCCCTACCCACTAAAACCTCCTTGCTCATCCACAATCCTACATTGTCTTGCCTCTAATTCTTTCAATTATAACCCTACCGTACACTTTTCCTGGTATACTCGATAAACTTATTCCTCTATAATTTTTACAATCTCTTTTGTCCTCCTTCCCTTTATATAAAGGAACTATACACGCTCTCTGCCAATCCCTAGGTACCTTCCCCTCTCATACATTTTTTTTTTTTTATTATCACACTGGCCGATTCCCACCAAGGCAGGGTGGCCCGAAAAAGAAAAACTTTCACCATCATTCACTCCATCACTGTCTTGCCAGAAGGGTGCTTTACACTACAGTTTTTAAACTGCAACATTAACACCCCTCCTTCAGAGTGCAGGCACTGTACTTCCCATCTCCAGGACTCAAGTCCGGCCTGCCGGTTTCCCTGAACCCCTTCATAAATGTTACTTTGCTCACACTCCAACAGCACGTCAAGTATTAAAAACCATTCGTCTCCATTCACTCCTATCAAACACGCTCATGCACGCCTGCTGGAAGTCAAAGCCCCTCGCACACAAAACCTCCTTTACCCCCTCCCTCCAACCTTTCCTAGGCCGACCCCTACCCCGCCTTCCTTCCACTACAGACTGATACACTCTTGAAGTCTTTCTTTTTCGCTCCATTCTCTCTACATGTCCGAACCACCTCAACAACCCTTCCTCAGCCCTCTGGACAACAGTTTTGGTAATCCCGCACCTCCTCCTAACTTCCAAACTACGAATTCTCTGCATTATATTCACACCACACATTGCCCTCAGACATGACATCTCCACTGCCTCTAGCCTTCTCCTCGCTGCAACATTCATCACCCATGCTTCACACCCATATAAGAGTGTTGGTAAAACTATACTCTCATACATTCCCCTCTTTGCCTCCAAGGACAAAGTTCTTTGTCTCCAAAGACTCCTAAGTGCACCACTCACTCTTTTTCCCTCATCAATTCTATGATTCACCTCATCCTTCATAGACCCATCCGCTGACACGTCCACTCCCAAATATCTGAATACATTCACCTCGTCCATACTCTCTCCCTCCAATCTGATATCCAATCTTTCATCACCTAATATTTTTGTTATCCTCATAACCTTACTCTTTCCTGTATTCACTTTTAATTTTCTTCTTTTGCACACCCTACCAAATTCATCCACCAATCTCTGCAACTTCTCTTCAGAATCTCCCAAGAGCACAGTGTCATCAGCAAAGAGCAACTGTGACAACTCCCACTTTATGTGTGATTCCTTATCTTTTAACTCCACGCCTCTTGTCAAGACCCTCGCATTTACTTCTCTTACAACCCCATCTATAAATATATTAAACAACCACGGTGACATCACACATCCCTGTCTAAGGCCTACTTTTACTGGGAAATAATTTCCCTCTTTCCTATGTACTCTAACTTGAGCCTCACTATCCTCGTAAAAACTCTTCACTGCTTTCAGTAACCTACCTCCTACACCATACACCTGCAACATCTGCCACATTGCCCCCCTATCCACCCTGTCATATGCCTTTTCCAAATCCATAAATGCCACAAAGACCTCTTTAGCCTTATCTAAATACTGTTCACTTATATGTTTCACTGTAAACACCTGGTCCACACACCCCCTACCTTTCCTAAAGCCTCCTTGTTCATCTGCTATCCTATTCTCAGTCTTACTTTTAATTCTTTCAATAATAACTCTACCATACACTTTACCAGGTATACTCAACAGACTTATCCCCCTATAATTTTTGCACTCTTTTGTCCCCTTTGCCTTTATACAAAGGAACTATGCATGCTCTCTGCCAATCCCTAGGTACCTTACTCTCTTCCATACATTTATTAAATAATTGCACCAACCACTCCAAAACTATATCCCCACCTGCTTTTAACATTTCTATCTTTATCCCATCAATCCCGGCTGCCTTACCCTCTTTCATTTTACCTACTGCCTCACGAACTTCCCCCACACTCACAACTGGCTCTTCCTCACTCCTACAAGATGTTATTCCTCCTTGCCCTATACACGAAATCACAGCTTCCCTATCTTCATCAACATTTAACAATTCCTCAAAATATTCCCTCCATCTTCCCAATACCTCTAACTCTCCATTTAATAACTCTACTCTCCTATTTTTAACTGACAAATCCATTTGTTCTCTAGGCTTCCTTAACTTGTTAATCTCGCTCCAAAACTTTTTCTTATTTTCAACAAAATTTGTTGATAACATCTCGCCCACTCTCTCATTTGCTCTCTTTTTACATTGCTTCACCACTCTCTTAACCTCTCTCTTTTTCTCCATATACTCTTCCCTCCTTGCATCACTTCTACTTTGTAAAAACTTCTCATATGCTAACTTTTTCTCCCTTACTACTCTTTACATCATCATTCCACCAATCGCTCCTCTTCCCTCCCGCACCCACTTTCCTGTAACCACAAACTTCTGCTGAACACTAACACTACATTTTCAAACCTACCCCATGCCTCTTCGACTCCATTGCCTATGCTCTCATTAGCCCATCTATCCTCCAATAGCTGTTTATATCTTTCCCTAACTGCCTCCTCTTTTAGTTTATAAACCTTCACCTCTCTCTTCCTTGATGCTTCTATTCTCCTTGTATCCCATCTACCTTTTACTCTCAGTGTAGCTACAACTAGAAAGTGATCTGATATATCTGTGGCCCCTCTATAAACATGTACATCCTGAAGTCTACTCAACAGTCTTTTATCTACCAATACATAATCCAACAAACTACTGTCATTTTGCCCTACATCATATCTTGTATACTTATTTATCCTCTTTTTCTTAAAATATGTATTACCTATAACTAAACCCCTTTCTATACGAAGTTCAACCAAAGGGCTCCCATTATCATTTACACCTGGCACCCCAAACTTACCTACCACACCCTCTCTAAAAGTTTCTCCTACTTTAGCATTCAGGTCCCCTACCACAATTACTCTCTCACTTGGTTCAAAGGCTCCTATACATTCACTTAACATCTCCCAAAATCTCTCTCTCTCCTCTGCATTCCTCTCTTCTCCAGGTGCATACACACTTATTATGACCCACTTCTCGCATCCAACCTTTACTTTAATCCACATAATTCTTGCATTTACACATTCATATTCTCTTTTCTCCTTCCATAACTGATCATTCAACATTACTGCTACCCCTTCCTTTGCTCTAACTCTCTCAGATACTCCAGATTTAATCCCATTTATTTCCCCCCACTGAAACTCCCCTATCCCCTTCAGCTTTGTTTCGCTTAGGGCCAGGACATCCAACTTCTTTTCATTCATAACATCAGCAATCATCTGTTTCTTGTCATCTGCACTACATCCACGCACATTTAAGCATCCCAGTTTTATAAAGTTTTTGTTCTTCTCTTTTTTAGTAAATGTCTACAGGAGAAGGGGGTTACTAGCCCATTGCTCCCGGCATTTTAGTCGCCTCATACGACACGCATGGCTTACGGAGGAAAGATTCTTTTCCACTTCCCCATGGACAATAGAAGAAATAAAGAAGAACAAGAGCTATGTAGAAAAAGGAGAAAAACCTAGATATATGTATATATATATATGCATGTGCATGTCTGTGAAGTGTGACCAAAGTGTAAGTTGGAGTAGCAAGATATCCCTGTTATCTAGCGTGTTTATGAGACAGAAAAAGACACCAGCAATCCTACCACCATGCAAAACAGTTACAGGTTTCTGTTTCACAGTCATCTGGCAGGACGGTAGTACTTCCCTGGGTGGTTGGTGTCTACCAACCTACTACCTACATTTATTAAACAAAAATCCCAACCACTCCAACACATACATACGTTTTGAAAAAAAAAAAATTACCAAAAACACTAATAGTATGCAACTGTAAGCTTGCAGTTTGCAAATATGTTACCATATGAGGACCAAGTCCAGAAACTTTGAATAACTATTTTTTGGTATGTTTAAACCTGATTTCCATTTAACACATGTACAATGAAGGCCAATATTTTGGAAAAAAAATAAATATTCTGGTACTAATATAATTTCTTTTTATCCCACTGGCAGTTTAAGGATTAAACTACAGTCTTGTTTCATTGATAAGTGTAAATATATTATAAGAAATAGAAAAAAGTCCATAAAACACTTGTGTATAAACTTAATAACTTGCAAACAGTTTGATAGCTCCTCTTTTTTTTCCAGACATATTAGCCCTTTCCCCTCCCTTTCATTGCCATAAGTGATCAGAAACAAATTACACACATTTCCAATTAAATGTGACTTGTACCACATAGAAATCTTTCTTCTTTCAACAAATCGGCCATATCCCACCACAGCAAGCTGACCCAAAAAGAAATACAAAAGTTTCTCTTTTTAACTTTAGTAATATGTACAGGAGAAGGAGTTACTGGCCTCTTGCTCCTGGCATTTTAGTCACCTCTTATGACACATATGGCTTAAGGAAGAAGAATTCTGTTCCATATCCCCATGGAGAACCATATATATATATCCCAAAAATAATTTATTTATAAGGCACCAGGTAAATGTTCTTTGAATATTGATTATATAGTACATAGCAATTTTGTTGGTATCACAGCCATCTAACTTCACAGGTTTCTAATATGATTTTTTTAATTTTTCTTTAATTTCAGTATAACACATAACTGAAACAATAACTTTGTTTTTCCTCACCCTCAAGTCCATAAGGTGCAAAGACTCTTCTTTCAGTGAGAATGGAAAGCGTCAGAGGGCGTCGAAATACCAACTCTCTAGTTACACCATCACCACCCCTATAATGGTTATAAATGATGAGCATGTACATTTATATAATTATCTAAAATGCTATTTTGACAATTGGTTTGTTTTAGCATTTTTGTAATTCATTAATATGAGTGCTCTTTATGATAAAATTTTCAATGAAGGCATGTTCAAAAGCTGAAAAAATGGAAAAGTTAGAAAAATAAAAACTTGTGCAAATACAACAGTGGTTGATATTACTTGTCGATATCCATGCAAGTGGAAAAGTTATGCGATCTTTTACACTACCTGTACAGCTACCATCCCCACAATTTCTTCAGCTGTACGAGCCCTGCTCTCAGCATAATATGATGGATGTTATGGTGACCCTATATACTTCAAACATTTTTCACTATACATTCTTTTTTAATAACTTTTTCACACTGGCAGTTTGGAGGGATATGCTGTGTATCTTTATACGTATATGCTTCTAAACTGTTGTATTCTGAGCACCTCTGCAAAAGCAGTGATAATGTGTGAGTGTGGTGAAAGTGTTGAATGATGAAAGTATTTTCTTTTGGGGGATTTTCTTTCTTTTTTTGGGTCACCCTGCCTCGGTGGGAGACAACCAACTTGTTGAAAAAAAAAAAAAAAATGTTCAACAATTGTAGAAATATAACCACAGTAGGTATATGCTTGTTCAAACAACACAAACGTGTAAGCACATTGTAAATATGGGTTACCAGCCTTCATGCACTGCCTACCAGCTCATTTTTAAAAACTTCATGGCATGTTGGACAGGTAAGTTATCCCATACCCTTTAAACTTCGATATCATGTTTCATTCGTATTTTATTTAGTGTATAGTGGTACCTTGACTTAAGAGTTTAATTTTTTCCATGACCGAGCTCGTAACTCAATTTGCTCGTATATCAAATCAATTTTCCTCATTGAAATTAATTGAAATGACATTAATCCCATTCCAGCCCCCAAAAAACCACCCCAATTTTTTTGCTATGGATTTTTAAATAAGAAAAATGTATTCATAAATAAGAAATGATTTTTGCCAGGTCCCAACAATGTTTTAGAAATGCTGGAGTATATATGAAACTCCTTGAAGCATGGTGCAAGAAGAGTGTCACTCCACTGCTGACAGTGCAGCAGTGGAGTGACATCTGATGATTGTGCACTGCCTTGGCTTTAGTTTTCACTGTTACACAAACATGTCTTTCTGTTTCTGTCTAGCTCTGTCAGCCTATCTGTATTTGTCTGTATCTGTGTCTAGCTCTGTCTGTTTATCTCTGCTTATCTGTCTTTCTGTCTGCCTGTGTTAGTTTTCCTGTCTCTCTACTTGTCTGTCTCAGAGAGAGCTGCTCATGAACCAACAGGTATTACACATGATGCAGAGTTGTCACATCTGATTTCTGAACAAGTGAAAGTGTATTACTTGCCAGTCATGCTTATTATGCCTTATATCTATCTACAATATAGTATAGCACTTTGTCTGGATTTTTGGGGTTATCCTAGGTAATTTACACTAACTGTAGTTATGTGTACCTGTGAGATACAGGCAGATTGACAGAGCGATAGAGAGGAATAGATACAGACAGAGAAGGAGATAGAGACAGCCAAAGCAAATCAGCCAGCCGGCCACCCAACCAGTCGGCCTGCTAAACATGTATTACACGTTCCAGAATTGTTTCTCTTTACTTAGGGCATACGTTATAGAACATTCTGGCAGGATGACACTACCAATGGTATCAAAATTGAAAGGATGTTACACATTGGTTATTATCTAGGTTTTTTATATTTTCTCGGTATCTCCTGCGAGTGGCAGCGTATCTGAAGCTCACTCGTAACTCTGATCTTGGATCGCAACTCAAAGCAAAAAATCAACCAAGCAATGGCTCGTAACTTGGAAAACTCGCAAGTTGGGGCACTCTTAAGTCAAGGTACCACTGTATATGAAAGACTTACAGATGCATGTAAGGAGCTGGTTACACCTTCCCTGTAATTAGTATCCACTGTTACCACTAGGTCACTGTAATGTTATTTTCCAAGAGTGACTACTTACTCGAATGAATCTCATCTAAGGTTATATGAATTACAAGATTTAGTTCATACATGACTTACGTATGTGATGTCACAAGTGCCATAAAAACAAACCTGAACTTTCCTCTGCCGCCGGTTCCTTGATTCAGAGTGAATTTATTGAGAATAACTGGGTAACGGGATTCCAGTAACTCTGGATCTGTAATTCTAGTATTTGTCATGTGAACGTGAATCCCACTGCGGCCATGCCAAGCTGGGCCCTGAAATAAGTAGGGTAAATGAATACAACACAAAAATTTCAAATATTAACTGATTTACAAAAATAAATCAAATGTACAGCAGTTATAAAAACAATGAAAATAAAAAACTTTAAACAAAGCCATAATATATTCAATTAAAAATTTATTTGTGGAATTTATATTTTTAATTGTGATCAATAAAAATCTAAAGAAAAACCAATTTTCACTAATACTAGTACTGATACCATCAAAAGTAGCCAATACCGACACTTTGGCATGCCCCTATAAAGCACCTACAGTATCCAAAAATATAACTTTTTCAAATATTCAAAACAGTACTGCATACCGCTCCTGCACCTCCAGCCACTGTCTCGTAATAGCCCACACTCTCATCACCAAAGGTTATATTGTTCATGCAGCCCTGGGATGCAGCACAAGCACCAAAGGCATGTAGAATGACATCAACTATTCTCTGTGATGTCTGCACATTACCACCAACAACTGCTGCATCTGGTGAAGGGTCCAATAAGCAGCCTGGAGGAATCTTTATAGTTACTGGTTTCAGACAACCCTGAAATTAAATAAATTTTATTGCAAAGTTAAAATATACTGACATAAAATAATAAATAATTTGCACAAATACTATTTATAATTTTTTTAATTTCTTCCGAAATGTTATTTTGTATTTTTTAAATTCTGCTTTATGTTGAAGAGGGAATAATTCTCACAGGAGGAGAATGTTGAACATAACTGCTAATAATGGCAGGGTAATATCAAGTCAAAGACAATAAGGAAGTGGTGTATACCAGTAGATGCGAGACTGAAGGGAGAGGAAGGGCACAAAGATAAGCAAAAAAATGTAGAGTACAGGAGGGCCCCATGTATTTGGCACCCTCTTTTCGGTGTTCTACACTTTCGCTGGTTTTCAACTGAGCCACTGTTCATTATGTTTGGTGCTTTCACTGCTTTCCCGCCGTTTGCACAACAGTTGCAAAAGGGAAGGGTGACCAGCTCCATATTTTAAAGGTGAATATTGTTATATACCGTGTATTTATTTTACTTTTTATCTGTTTTTTATGCCTAGCTCTACTGAGCCCTTAATATATGATAGTGTAAACACATTATTAGGTATTTCAGATGCATTTGATTTTGAAAAATGTTCTTTTCCACTTGCTGGCAATTTTCTCTTATCAAATGGGGTCAGGAACCCAAGAGCAGTAAAAACAGGGCCCTCCTGTATACGAGTTTTTAAATTATGAAGCATTCGCTTCATACAAGCCGCTTCCACTCAGTCCTGTCATTGGAGGCACTCGTGCATTGTTTACATATATACATATACTATGCTTTTTATTTTCCACTTTTTACATTTTTGTTCATCTTTGTACCCTTCCTCTACCTCCAATCACGCATCCACTGCTCTCCAATTCTTTGGATCAAGAGCCCTTCACTGGCATCAAAGCACCCCTTTGCAGGAACTACACATATTATACCCACTGCAAATGTATAATGTTTCAACCTATAATCTATTACACATGAATTCAAAAGCCCTACCTAAGACTATCTTTATTACAAACCATTATATACAGTAAGCTACTGTACAAAAACCCACTGCAAACACAAAACTCACCTGATTGAGGGGTATATCATGACCAACCATGGAGCGAAGGCAATAAATAACAGCTGAGACAGTGATGGCTTTCGGTGCATTGCAATTGCCCCAAACTTCTGGCCCTGTTCCACTGTTAAGAAAATGGGAAAAACTTTGTATATGTATACACATGTGTATTTGTGTACACATCTTTGTGAGTACAGAATGTACAAATGAATGTCTCCAAAGTAAAGGCAGTCCATGTAGTTACCTATCCAGCTACTGGCCAAACGCAATGTATATACCAAAGATATCAAGTGATGTGCATATAGGCCAAATGACAAAATAAATGAATGTAGCAGTACTGTATGTATGGAAGAGATCACCCTGTGATAACCTGTTTGTAATTACAGGATCAGTTTTTTTTTTTTTTTTTTTTTTTTTTTTTAACACATCAGCCGTTTCCTGCTGAGGCAGGGTGACACAAAAAGAAAGAAAAACTTCAATCATTCAACACTTTAACCATCACTCATGCATAAACACTGTCTTTGCAGAGGCACCCAGATACAACAGTTTAGGGCTATGATCATGATATTGTCTACAGTAGGTAGTTTGCTTAAGTTGCCAGTTACTGTGTCAGTTATGCCATGCTTCCAGAAAGCTACTTTAGGCAGCAAAGGTGCAACTCCGACCTTCCACTTAAAAAAAAAAAAAAAAAAAAAAAAATTAAAGACTGATTACCACTGTGCAGCCACCCAGGGCTTCATGAATCAATCTTGGGCACTTCATAAATTATGGCTCTCATATGGGTAGTTTTTAGTGCAAATCAAATTAGCCATTTTTTTCAATCATGTGTTGCTGAATTTATACTTTCCATAGTCATGTCAATTAAGGGTTTACTGTTGTACTCTATCATTTTTAGGGGGGATATCATTATGGCATGCTACTATTTCCTTTGTGACAAAATACTTTCTAGCATCCTTGAAGCACTATTTTTGACAGTTTGCAATAGTGGCAAGCTGTTTTCAGATTTTGATTTTTGTTACCGTTTATAATTTGCTCCCTTTAATATTCTGTCTCTGGTTTCTATTTGCAAGATCTAGCATTTATTCACAGAACCCCCAACAGGTTGACTACCTCTGTAACTTAGCTAAACCTCACTGGAGACCACCAAGATGATGTCAACACTTTCTGCAAAACAAACCCACACAAAGCATACCAACAAAAAATACACACACATCAAAAGCCAAATCTGACCCAACATTGCTATATAGCCAGATCAGGAGGAAAACCAACAGTCAAAGACCAGGTAATCAGGCTGAAGAAGGTGGGGAGCTCACAAAGAATGACCAGAAGTATTTGAAGAGCTCAGCACAAGATTCAGGGAGGTTTTCTCAGTGTAGACAGGAAGATTTCCAGTAAATCATGGCAGTAGAGTACACCAGCAAGTGCTGGACACACCACACACAACCGAGGTGGTGGCATGTATCGGATACATACCTCGAAGGAGGGTGGCCCAGAAAACATCTCTGTATACACAGTATACAATAACCATGAGTCGTATGTAAGAAATTTTTAAACTGTTCAAGTGAGACATGCCAGACATAATTCAAAAACTAAATCTGGTGAAAAATTTTGCATAAAGTTCACTGTAATGGAAAATTATCTAGGACTACTAGATTTAAAAACAATAATAGTGAATGGTAGTCAGGCATCTATATACCAAATATGAGTGAAGAAATTTACATGCTTCACATTTAAAATGAATCCTCTAAGTTATTCCCAGGATATTACCCAAAAATATCATTAAAAAAAATCAGCAGAGAAAAAATAACATTCTGTAAATCTAATAACTTTTTAATAGTAACATCTGTGATGATAGAAGAACTGATATTACATACTCAAAATCAAACACAGCTGTTCCCTTCTCAATGTCGATATTTACTGTCAATTCAATGGTTGATCCATCATCCAAGTAATCAATTGCATGAAGTGAAGCAGCACCTCTTTTTCTAAATACTTGAGATCCCACCTCCTTCAGGAGATCTTTAACAGCTAGTTCAGCACTTGATTGAATGTGGCTCATGTATGCTTGAACTACATCTAAACTGTAGTAATCAATTAGTTCATTCACAAGTTGAATTCCCTGTAAAATAGAAAATGTTCAAATAAAATTTAACTCCTTTACTACTGAAAGTAAATACAAACTATACTGTAAGATGAATACGAACTGAAAAATATTACAAATACACATTGGCATATACTTAGATATACATAACACAAAGCCATGCAAATAAATTAACCAGGTGCGACTGTGCCTACATGCATGGGTTTTACTCTGATTTTTTGGAGAGAAAAACAAAATAGCTAGCAATGGTAGGTTCAATCTGGATGTAAAATACTCAAATAGTGAAAAGATATATGTACATAAAAAAGAGGCAGAAGATCTAGTGATACAATCAAGACAAGTTGAATGATTAATACAATCCACACCCAAAAAGAAAGTGAAAAATATTGTGTAACCAGTGTTAAATCATGATGTAAAACAGAGACCTGTATTTTTTTTTTCCACTCGCCTGAAAGTTGAGCCTATCCATGGAGCTGTGACCCATAAATGGGTAACAAACTAACTTTGTTGGCAAACAGACAGGCTGTATTTGGCTAGTGTCCAGTAGTATTGGATGGTATGTAGCCGGTTGCTCCAGTGACTACTCTCAGGCCATTATATGATGGTCACTTGCACATACATTTACTGTACCTCACCTGGGGCCATTAGCCTGTCTAGTGCCTGCCCTTGTTGGATTCAGTGGTAGGTGAGGGGGATGCAAAATTTATGTTTTTTGCTATTGTTAAAGCTGTGTCGTACAATACCTCTCATGGGACTTTTATGAAAACTTTGCAGCAATGAGCCTCTTTCATTATACCCCAGGAATCTACCACCCTTCCTCCAACATACTTGGCTTACTTTTCTTTTTTAAAAAGTCTGCCCTATCTATAGACTACCTTCAGCCATAACATCTGATTTAACAATAACAAATAGCCAAACTTTTTTAACCCTTTGACTGTCGCGGCCATATATATACGTCTTACGAGGTACCGTGTTTGACGTATATATACTCAAATTCTAGCGGCTTCAAATCAAGCAGGAGAAAGCTGGTAGGCCCACATGTGAGAGAATGGGTCTGTGTGCACCATATAAAAAAAATCCTGGAGCATGCAGTACATAATGAGAAAAAAAAACTCCGACCGTTTTTTTTAATTAAAATGCCGACTTTGTGGTCTATTTTCGTATAGTATTTATGGTTGTATTCTCGTTTTCTTGGTCTCATTTGATAGAATGGAAAACATATTATAGAAATAGAGGTGATTTTGATTGGTTTTACTATAAAAAGAACCTAGAAATGGAGCTCAAAGTAGGGGAAATGTTTGATTTTTGCCAATGTTCAAAAGTAAACAAATGATGCCATTGTCCAATAAATGTCCAACTAGCCATTCTAATATGCAGTCATGAATGGGTTGATGTTATTTATACAATTATTACACTATTGCAGTAGTCTGCATAATAGTAAGTCTTCTATTTTTTGTTTGAATAAAAATTTCAAAATAGAAAGCAAGAGTAATATCAGAGGGGCTTGGAGACATGACTGATGAGCAAAGAAAATGTTATTTTAGAGCCAGGAATGTCTGCATTGTTCATTCTGGACCTTATTTTGAAATTGTCATATTTTTTAGTTTTCGTGAAATTGGCCAAATTGCAAATTTCTGACCACATTACATGTATTAAGTAGTTGAAATCAGTAAATGGGCAGTTTCTTGTACTCAATCGATAGAAAAAATGGAGTTCTAAAGAAATAGCTATGAGTTTGGGCAACTGGAACAATGGAATTAGCCGAAAATAGGGCTCAAAGTGGGCGAAATCGCCGATTTGTAAACAGCGCCGAGGTCGCTAACTTCGCGAGAGTATAATTCCGTCAGTTTTCCATCAAATTTCGTTTTTTTTATCATTACAATCGGGAAAAGATTCTCTATCATTTCACAAGAAAAAATTTTTTTTTTTTAAATTTTGCGACACCAGGAGACACCTCAGGATTGGGGGCTGCGACAGTCAATAGTTTTTACTAGGTTATTACAATAAAGCTAAAACTAGGTTATTAACAATAAAGCTAAAACAAGCATGAAATACAAAAGGTTTTTCTCATGGACACCAAGGGGTTTTACAAATACCAAAATTTTTAATTCACTGGATTTCCTTGAATTTATGCAGTATTTGCTTTTCTTATTTAAACAATAAATTATTAATAAGACCTACGTTTTATACTTGTCTGATTACAGTACCTACTATTATTTTAAGTCAAAATTATTTAAAATGGCTCTATAGGTGGTGTAAGGCTACGAGTAGACAGCTTTATAAAGCCTCTTAGTGAAATACTGCAATAATGAAAGGTCTCCTTTTGTTGTGCAAGCCTTAAGCGACTCTTAATGAGTTGACCTTTAATGAATTTCCCTCCATGAAGCATTATAAGTATGCATATTCTTAATAAACTTACTCTGTGGTTAGCTGCAACTTGAGCTCGAAGATCCGAGAGGTTGTCCTGTAGATTGCGAGTTCCAGATGATCCAGGAATCTTACCAGGAGCCATGAGAGCGTCAATCAGTTCATTTTCCTGAAAACATTTAGCAGTGAAAAACAAGAGGGAAGACATTAGATAGGGAGGTGGAGGAATATTTTGAGTGGTTAAATTCTGGTGAAGAAAGGGAGGCAGTGATTTCATTCATGGGACAGTGAGGTACATCTTGTAAAATTGAGGAAGAGCCAGACGAGAATGGGGAAAATGCACGAGGCAGTGCATAGAATGAAAGAGGATAAAGCAGCTGGGATAGATGGAATCAAGACTGAAATGCTAAAAGCAGGTGGGGGTATAGGTCTGGAGTGGTTGGTCTATTTCTTCAATATATGCATGAAAGAGGAGACGGGTACCTAGATACAGTGGACCCCCGCATAACAATCACCTCCGAATGCGTCCAATTATGTAAGTGTATTTATGTAAGTGCATTTGTACGTGTATGTTTGGGGGTCTGAAATGGACTAATCTACTTCACAATATTCCTTATGGGAACAAATTCGGTCAATACTGGCACCTGAACATACTTCTGGAGTGAAAAAATATCGTTAACCGGGGGTCCACTGTATTGGTAAAAAGCAGGTATAGTTTCTCTTTGTATATGAAAAAAATGGGCTAAAAGAGTAAAAGAATTACGGGAAAATAAGTCTATTCAGTATACAGAGTAAAGTACATGGCAGTCATTATTGAAAGAATTAAAAGTAAGACAGAAGGTAGGGTTACAAGAGGGCAATGTGTAATGTAAACATTATGCAGAAAATTTGGAGCTTTGAGATTAGAAGGTGGGGGATTACCTAAAGTATTATTCAGAGTGCTGAGGAGGGGTTATTGAGGTGGCTTGAACATTTAGAGAAGATGAAGCAAAATAAGATGGTTAGTAGGGTGTATAAATTTGGGGTGGAGGGGAGGAAGGGGTAAAAGAAGTTTTGAGTGCTAGGTGCTTAGATTCACAACAGGTAGGAGTGAAGGAAAGTGGTTGTTATGACTTAACATGCTGTTAGAGTGTGAGCAGGGTAACATTTATGAAGGGAATCAGGGGAAACCATTTAGATGGGCTTATGTCCTAGATATATGATCTCTAATGATTTTGTACAATGTCATGTGCAGATTTTAATGAATTCAAATACTTTTTATGCCAATCTGCACAGCAAAAGTGTGACAAAGACTAGAGTAAAAGATGCTACAGTAAATTATGTCCAATGTTCCTAATAATAATTTAGTACAAATAAAATGCAATATTGCAAATCTAATGTTATACAAGCTCTCTCCTTCATTAAACTATTTATAATTTAATAAACATTAAGTATTATTTTTGTATCAAGAATGTTATTATAATTACCAGTACCATATTATGATAGTTTAAACAATAATTTATTTCCTGTTTAAAGCTATATAACAACCAATGTTCTTCACGGGGAAGTGGAACAGAATTCTTCCTCTGTAAGCCATGCATGTTGTAAGAGGTGACTAAAATGCCAGGAGCAAGGAGCTACTAACCCCTTCTCCTGTATGAATTACTAAATTTAAAAAGAGAAACTTTCATTTTTCTTTTTGGGCCACCCTGCCTCGGTGGGATACGGCCGGTTTGTTGAAAGAAGAACCACCACCAATGTGACTTGCTGCAACTACATATACTAAAACATTGTGTATGCAGTACTTGGGTATTTCCAAATTAAACACTCATCAGTTTGCCTGCATTACTGATCCATGAGAAGTGTCCAGATGATTTTTAACAAATTGCAGGATATCGAAGTTTTTACTTACCCGAAAGACACCTTGGTCAACAAGTTTAAATGTTAAAAAGACTGCTCCTTCTTCTTGTATGGAAGTAGAATGGGGAGGCATTGAACCAGGAGTGATGCCACCAATATCTGCATGGTGACCACGGCTAGCCACGTAGAACACTGGACAATGTACACCCCTGAAAATTACCGTTAATTACTGAACATTTTTTTAACACAACAAGCTGTCTCGCATTAAGATAGGGTAACCCAAAAATGTAAATGCATTCAACATCACCCATTCAATAGCCGTCTTGACAGAAAGGTGCACAAACATCACAATTCAACTGACCCTTTGAACATCAATATCCCCACTGCTCCATAGCCCAGATACCACCATACTTCCCATTTCCAGGAATATTAAATACAGTGGACCCCCGGTTAACGATATTTTTTCACTCCAGAAGTATGTTCAGGTGCCAGTACTGACCGAATTTGTTCCCATAAGGAATATTGTGAAGTAGATTAGTCCATTTCAGACCCCCAAACATACACGTACAAATGCACTTACATAATTGGTCGCATTCAGAGGTGATCGTTATGCGGGGGTCCACTGTATATGGTAATATAAACTTATGTCACCCTGCCTCTGTGGTATATGGCCGGTGTGTTAAAAAATAAATGTGTAAAACATTATTGAATGGCGTACAATATCAACAAGCTGATGAATAAGATGGATGCAACACCAGGGTATCTTGCACAACAGGCTTCTCCAGTTGAGTACGTGTACGTGCAAATACAGTGGAACCTAGGTACTCGAACTTAATTCGTTGCAGAAAGCTGTTCGAGTACTGAATGAATTTTTCTCGACCAATTTTCATTTTGGTTGGCTGTTATCACTAATCTTCATAGGCCCCAGGGGACTTATTTATTAATTTGAACATGATACAGTGGAGTACAAAAGAATACAGTTAAATGCAGCATGCCAAAGCCACTTGAATGCATAGCATTACGGGCTCGTTACACTAAAATTTATACAAATAATATTAAAAACGCCAAAAAATGTGAAGAAACACAAAACAGTGTACAGCCAAGTTCTGGCAGGTCGTGTTTGTTTGGTCCAGTGTCGAGCAAACGGTCGACTACTGAGCGATTTCTTTTTTACCGAACAAAGCATTTGAATACCAAATTGTTCGAGTAGGGAGCTGTTCATATACCAAGGTTCCACTGTATAACAGTGGAGACAGTAGTAGCATTACATTTACCTGTATTCAAGAGAAAATGCCTTTTGTCCACACAATGTTTTGGCAATAATGATACCCAATTTTTTTTTTTTTTTTTTTTTTTTTTTTTTACACAGATGAATTTACAAAGTGTTTTACACATTTTATTAATTTATTTACAACAATTAATTAGAATGTAAAAATGACAACACATCTATTTAATTATAAGAATGATGTATGAGACATATTCCAATGGGCAGAAAAAATAAAGTTTCATCTCAAGCTAAAATACCTAAAAAAAAAAAAAAATTGAATTAACTGTGGACAATCCTATGGGTTAATCACAGGTTAAAAATACAGGAACCAATTACACTGGCAATGCAAGAATCACAAACAAGCAATACAAGATGTCCCCATAGCGGTTTTGAATCTTAGCCAGTAATGGATAAGACAGTACAGTAAAAACAGTGAAATAGTCCTTGATTCCTTTTAGTACCAGTATATCTGCTGTATATTCTCCTGTACATTATTAAAGTTAAAAAGAAACTTTTTTTTCTTTTTGGGTCACCCTGCCTCGGTGGGATACGGCTGGTTTGTTGAAAGAAGATATTGTTAAAAAAAATTATGAAGCACCCTTAAATACAGAAGATATCTGTTTTGTAATTACTGGACTGATACTATTACTCTGCTGAAGTAATGTTTGATTCTATATCGAATGCATTTTCTAATCCTCTTAAATCACACATGCATAACTATGATTATACTATATTTACAAAAACTCACTGAAGCTTGTAGGTTATCCAACACTGCATGGCTAAAGGAGTTCTTACTTACTTTGTGGGAGGCAAGCTTGAATGTGAATGGAGAAAATTATAGTTAGTGTAACAAGCCAGTTTCAATTTAAAAAAGCAGAGCAAATCTACACATATGCAAGAGCTACCAAAGAAAATAAAAATAAAGCATACTTGTAAAAAACTGGAGTGATAACAGTAAGGTCAGGTAAGTGTGAGCCTCCTGCTGAAGGATGATTCGATAGCAAAACATCCCCGTCTTTCAGGCTATCTCCAAGCACCTCTAACTGTAAATCAAGACAAGTGTACCAGTTTCTATTTGACAGCATAAATATCACCCATGAAGCAGGTACAACACCGATTTTCTGGCAATGGGTAGTCCAGAACCTCTAAGTACTTGCAAAATTACGAGACTAGTTTTTTGGAATATAGTGGACCCCCGGTTTATGATCACCTCCCAATGCGACCAATTATGTAAGTGCGTTTGTACGTGTATGTTTGGGGGTCTGAAATGGACTAATCTACTTCACAATATTCCTTATGGGAACAAATTCAGTCAGTACTGGCACCTGAACATACTTCTGGAATGAAAAAATATCGTTAACCGGGGGTCCACTGTATATACACACCCCTCTTGGTTTTTTTATATTTTCTTTCTAATTCTTGTTCTGGTTTATTACCTCTTATCTCCATGGGGAAGTGGAACAGAATTTTTCCTCTGTAAGCCATGCGTGTCGTAAGAGGCTACTAACATGCCGGGAGCAAGGGGCTAGTAACCCCTTCTCCTGTATACATTACTAAAGTTGGAAAGAGAAACTTTTGTTTTTCTTTTTAGGTCACCCTGCCTCTGTGGGATATGACCGGTTTGGTGAAAAAAAAAAAAAAAAAAAAAAAAAAATTTATGTAGGTGCGTTTGTACGTGTATGTTTGGGGGTCTGAAATGGACTAATCTAATTCACAATATTCCTTAAGGGAACAAATTCGTTCAGTACTGGCACCTGAACATACTTCTGGAATGAAATAACATCGTAAACCGTGGGTCCACTGTATTAGTTTATTGGGCGGCCACAGATGGCATTGTGTGGTGCACACTTATATTCCTTACACTGCAGTTGTTGGTAGTAATTCCTTGATTTTTGGTAATTCTTAGCATATTTTGCTATCAACCAACCCTACCTAAGGCTAGGGGTTAATAGCTATACTGTACAATAAATTTGGCAACGGCTATTGACAGTTTCACGAATAAAAGTTAATGAATTTTTATTTGATCCCTGAAAAACTATACAGGGAGAAGTCAAAGCACATGAAACAACTTTGCTTGGATAAAATTTTCAAAAAGATAGTCAAGAAGAATAGGTGTCATTGCAGTAGGTTCTGTGGCTTCAACGTAAGTATCCCAGATGTCTGTCCTGTAACTTCACAAATCCATGATGAAACAGTCAACTATAAAACGTACAGTGATCCTGACAACCCTCAACTTTCAGACCTTCATGATTTTTCTCTACAGTTCCAGTAAAATTCTAAAATTTACCACTTTGGGAGTGGCAGTACTGCAACATTCTTTATTAATAAACCTACTTCATTAATACGAAAGTTTAATTTAGGTTTCTAGCAGTCACTGGTGGGTCAGAGGTGTATTGTTGGGTTATTATTAAATGACCTCTGTTGGTCCAGCAAAGTTGACATTAAGGCTTAGGAGCCAAGAGTGCAGGTGCTGGAAAATCGGTGTTGTATCTGTATTATAAGAAAACTTCCTAAGGCAAGTAAAAATCTGTAAAAGAAATTTAATTATATTGGGAGGAATCTGACAGACAACAGTGCACTATTTATTCTACACAATATAAGGAGATGTAAAGAACCTGAACCAGTTATTATAATGCAAATTTTAATGTCTTTTTATCTATCTTATATGGTACATTTAAATTATTTGTGTATTTATGTTCTAATTTAGTTTTCTTTGGGTATATTTTTTTAAGCTTAATGGCACTACTACTAAGGCAGGGTGACCCAAAAGAAAACCCATTCACCATCATTCATTCAATCACCATCTTTCCAGAAGTGCACTGACATCACAATCAGATTACTCTGACTGGATCACTGCCCCTCCTTCAGAGCACAGACACTGCCCTTCAAATCACCAGGACTCGGGTCAGGTTGACCAGTTTTCCCTGAATCCCTTCACTAAAGTTACCTTGCTCACATCCCAACAGCACATGAAGTCTTAAAAATTACTTGTCTCCGTTCATTCCTATTTAACACACACACACAGGCTTGTTGAATGTCTATGCCCCAAACACTTAAAACCTTTGCCCTTTTACTTTTTATACGTGTTATATACAGTGCTTAACCAAATCCAAGAAAATGCTATGCCAAATATTCCAAATAATTTTTTATAAAGTCTTCCATAGTACAAAGGAACCACGGTCATCGTCTTAAATCCGTTCCAGAAAGTCGGTCGAAAACCGATTTGTACGAAAACTGAAGTAGTATTTCCCATAAGAAATAATGTAAATCCAATTAATCCCTTCCAGATTCCCAAAAATATTAACAAAAAATACATTTTATAGAGAATAACTATAGTTTTACATACAGAAAACAATGAGAAATAAATATACTGTAAATGACTAATAAAATGGATAAATGAACATTTAACATCACTTTTACCTTTACTGAAGACTTTGTCAAACCAGTCTTTGCTGGCCTTAAATTCACTAACAGCAGCACTCGTTCCAGGCATTTTCTTTACGAGATCTGCATTCAATTGCTTTGCCTTTTCACATATTATTGCCTCCACAACTCCCGCTAACTGTTTTTAGTTGATCCACATGAACAACAACTTCTCAATATCTTCAACTGTTTGCGATCTCTGTTTCATTAGCACATTTGCCTCTTTCACAACATCAGCTTCCTCGATTTCTTTTTCTTCGCCAGGTTGGAACTGATCATTGATTTGGACTTCCTACACATCCTGGTGAACTCAGCCACATGTACACCACTTTTATATTTTTCTACGAGTTCTTTCTTGAATTCTATTGTGTTTCTCGCCTTCTTTACCAAAGGGCTAGCACTCGAAACGTTTTGGCCCCACAGTAGCTTATTTAGCAGTTGCAAGCACGAAAAACAATGGATTATTATGAAATGTTTCGGAAGAACGTGTGGAGTAATGCTTACTGAACGAATAACAAAAGCAGACCGAGTCACAAACGTATGAGTGGCTGCGTCCAGCGGGCAGGTGAACACAACTGGTACAGACTATTCCAGAGTGGATATACGAAAACGGGGAAAATTTCTCCGAAAAAAGTGGTCGAAAACTGAATTGTACGTTAACCAGACCAGACGAAAACCGAGGTTCCACTGTACTTGTTACTGTTGTTGTTGACCTTGTTGATGTTATTGTTACTGTCTATATACGAGGTCAAACTCGGGTATGATATTTCCAAGTTTAATACATGTACTACATCGAAATATAAAAATTAACAAATTCCTAACTCCATGGGGAAGTGGAGAAGAATCGTTCCTCTATATGCCATGTGTGTTGTAAGAGGCGACTAAAATGCCAGGAGCAACAGGCTAGTAATCCCTTCTCCTGTATAAATTACTAAATGTTGTAAAAAACTTTTGTTTGCCTCAATGGGATATGGCTGGCGAATTGGGGGGAAAGGATGATTTTCACTCGCTTATCTTGTCTCTCTTTTGAGTCTTCATTTCCTAAAAAATAATTTATACATTTCTTTTTACCTTAAATTTACTACTCAACATTCTTAACCCTTAAACGGTCCAAATGTATATATATGTTCACTCGCGTAGCGCCCCAAATTTTTTGAGGAAAAAAAAAAATATTTTCTTTTAAAAGGAAAAAAGAGCATATTGTGCCCAGGCATCCCCAATTATTTTAATATGGCACACAGTGAGTGTGCACACCCATTCTCTCATGTCTAGGTGACTCAGGCTTATTGTGGCAATGTTGAATGAATGACAAAGAAAACGTATATATACGTTTGGGGCGCTACGCTGCGTGAACGTATATATACGTTTGGACCGTTTAAGGGTTAAGTGCTCATTCATTCTCTTTATTAATCTTTACTATACTACATCTGTTTACTTTTTTTTAACTGTTAAGTTGGTGTATCACTTGGCACAGCTCATATAGCAATACCATATATAAAAAAAAAAAAAAAAAAAAAAATCTTGAAAAATAAGAAAACTAACCTGATATTGTACAGTTTCTTGCATAGCTCCTAAATGAACTGGAATATGAGGAGCATTGGACACCAATCCACCATCAGGTCCAAACAGTGCACATGAGAAGTCAAGTCGTTCTTTAATGTTTGTTGAAATAGAGGTTCTTTGCAAAATCCTGACCAAAGAAAGATTATTAAGCTTCTGTCAGACTACTGGAAAGTCTTTGCACAACAGTCAAAACTTAATATATGTTCCAAGAATTGTATAAAAGGACTGTGTAAAAGAGCTCTAAAAAGAACTGCAAAGGTGTTATGAACAGCATACAAGTGGCAAGAAATTGGACTGAAAGGAAGCTATTTGCTAGGAAGTTATGAATAACTGACAATTTGCCTGTATGGCAATCATTCTACTGTACATTTGTGTGTTGTATGTATGTACAATTCACTTTCATAATGTTTTAGTATTACATTTAGTTTAGGTCTGCCTAAATTGTTTTATGTAACTATGGGCTCTTCCATGTGAGAAATTAATACTGTAAACCCGTCTTCGCAGCCTTACACACCTTCCCATCTGCTCGGCCAAACTCATGAACCGATGCGAGAAAATTGATAGCTGAATTGCATCTAGGTCAGCTCCAATTATCTTTTTTTTGGAACTTCCAATTTTTATTTGTACATCTCCTTGAGGTGTGATGTGGCCTATGCAATCTGAAAGCATACTTTTAATAATAAAAGGAAATGAATAAAATTGTCAATACTTGTTTAAGCCACAATAGCATTTAGATTCAGTTTGATAGTCTAAGTTACCTGACCACATTAAAAGTAGTGCTGATAGTAAGGGCAAACTCAGTAATTGAACATTGGTTAAACAATGCCTTAAAACATTTTATGCAAACAAAAATAATATAAAAGCATCTTCCAAAATTTTTAAAGCTTACTACTTTTACATAAATATGAAACATCATCAAAAGGTTCCCAAACAGCCATGAAAAAATACAGAGGCTTACCTAGTCACCTAGCTGCAGCTGCCTCCCCCCCAAGTACTCTTCTTTAGAGACTATGCACTGATCCCAGTGCTTCTGCCACTTCTGGAAACATTTCTGAATCTCTTCTTTCCTAATGGTGTCTAGAGCAGCTTGTGCTTCTGCTTGAATCTCCTCCATATCATTGAAATGCTATCCCTTGAGTGCCATTTTTATTTTTAGGAAGAGCAAGAAGTCACAGGAGGATAGATCTTGGGAGTAGGGAGGATGGGGAATGGCCACCATGACATTTTTGGCCAGAAAATGATGGTCTTTCTGGTTGTGAACCAGTAAGTGGGACAAATTTCACTACTACCCACCTTATGTTCAAGTTTTCAGTCAATGCTCTGACATGACCTATAAGAAATTCCCATAGAACTTGCAATGTCCTGGATACTCTGAAAACGATCTCTGACTAGCCTTCCTCACTTTTTCAATGTTGGAGTCTGTTTTTGACACTGATGAACAACCAAAGCGTTCATCACCCGTAAGTGATGTTTGTCCAGCTTTGAATCAAGAAAACCATTCCAAATGCTGTGACTAGCCAAATGCTTCATCACCAAATGCTTGCTTAAGTATTTTGCACATTTCACTAGCCGTTCCACTGAGCTTGAAACAACCTCTCCCTCTCACACTCACACACTCACACACTCACACACTCACACACACACTCACACACACTCACACACTCACACACACTCACACACACTCAACACACACACACTCACACAACACTCACACACACTCACACACACTCACACCACACTCACCACACACACCACTCACACACCACTCACAACATCAACACACACACCACTCACACACACTCACACACACACTCACACACACACACTCACAAAACACCACTACACACTCACACACACTCACACACACACCACACACTCACACACACCACTCACACTACACACACACACACACACACACACTCACACACACTCACACACACTCACACACACACACACACCACACACTCACACACACTCACACACACACACACAACACACACTCACACACACTCACACACCTCACACACACACACACCACAACACACACTCACACACTCCAACACTCACCACACTCACACACACTCACACACACACTCACACACACTCACACACACCACACACCCACACACACCACAACTCACACACACCACACACACTCACACACACTCACACACACTCACACACACTCACACACACCACACACACTCACACACACCACACACACTCACACACACTCACACACACTCACACACACTCACACACACTCACACACACTCACACACACTCACACACACTCACACACACTCACACAACACTCACACACACACTCACACACACTCACACACACCACAAACACACACACTCACACACTCACACACACTCACACACACTCACACACACTCACACACACTACACACACTCACACACACTCACACACACTCACACACACTCCACACACACTCACACACACTCACACACCACCTCACACACACTCACACACACTCACACACACTCACAACACTCACACACACTCACACACACTCACACACATCACCACACTCACACACACTCACACACACTCACACACACTCACACACACTCACACACACTCACACAACTCACACACACTCACACACACTCACACACTCACACACATCACACACTCACACACTCACAACACTCACACACACTCACACACACTCACACACACTACACCATCACACACAGTCACACTACACACTACTCACACTCACACAAAGCACTACACACCACACACTCACACACTCACCACACACACACACTCACACACTACAACAACCATCACATCAACTATCACACTCACACACACTCAAACCACACTCACACACACTCACACACACTCACACACAACTACAGTACTCATCAACGAGCCTCAGAATGTTAGATCATCTTCAGTCAAAGCGTCAATACTACCTACAACACTCAGACAGACACCATCACTACTTCACACATCATGACAACAGCTCACACACACACTGCAACACTATAGCATCAGTGACAAGCGGGGCTAGGAGCTATACTCACTCTGCAACCAAATGGACACCACACCCCACACACTCACACACACCACACACACCACGTACTCATATCACAGGCTAGTGTTTAATCGACTGTGCCTAGGACAAAATGGTAACTAACACTCACACACACTCACACACACTCACACTCACTCACACTCACTCACACTCACTCACACTCACTCACACTCACTCACACTCACTCACACTCACTCACACTCACTCACACTCACTCACACTCACTCACACTCACTCACACTCACTCACACTCACTCACACTCACTCACACTCACTCACACTCACTCACACTCACTCACACTCACACTCACTCACACTCACTCCATCACTCACACTCACTCACACTCACTCACACTCACTCACACCACTCACACACTCACACACTCACACACTCACACACTCACACACTCACACACTCACACACTCACACACTCACACACTCACACACTCACACACTCACACTCACACACTCACACACTCACACACTCACACTCACACACTCACACACTCACACTCACACACTTGCATGTGTGCACACACATGCACGCACACACAACTGCAAACCTTGCTCAAGGAGAAAGATCTTGGGGCGAGTATAACACCAAGCACATCTCCGGAAGCACACATCAACCAGATAACTGCTGCAGCATATGGGCATCTGGCAAACCCGAGATAAGTGTTCTGATACCTAAGTAAGGAATCTTTCAAGACACTGTACACCATGTACGTCAAGCCCATACTGGAGCATGCAGCACCAGTTTGGAACCTGCACCGGGTCAAGCACATTAAGAAATTAGAGAAAGTGCCAAGGTTCGCGACAAGGTTAGTTTCAGAGCTAAGGGGAATGCCCTACGAAGAAAGGTTAAGGGAAATCAGCCTGACGACACTGGAGAACAGGAGGGTTAGGGGAGACATGATAATGACGTACAAAATACTGCGTGGAATAGACAAGGTGGACAGAGACGAGATGTTCCAGAGAGGGGAGACACAAACAAGGGGTCACTCTTGGAAGTTGAAGACTCGGATGAGTCACAGGGATGTTACATAGTATTTCTTCAGTCACAGAGTGGTCAGGAAGTGGAGCAGTCTGGCGAGTGATGTAGTGGAGGCAGGAACCATACATAGCTTTAAGATGAGGTATGATAAAGCTCATGGACCAGGGAGAGAGAGAACCTAGTAGCGTTCAGTGAAGAGGCAGGACCAGGAGCCGAGTCTCGACCTCTGCAACTACAATTAGGCGAGTACAATTAGGTGAGCGAGTACACACTCGTGCGCACACACACACACACGCACACGCACACGCACACGCACACACACACACACACACACACACACACACACACACACACACACACACACACACACACACACAGTGAAGTCAGTGGAGAGGCAGGGCCAGGAGCCGAGTCTCGACCCCTGCAACCACAATTAGGAGAGTATAATTAGGCAAGTACGTACGTACGTACACACACACACACACACAAACCTCACTCAAGGAAAAAGATCTTGGGGTGAGTATAACACCAGGCACATCTCCTGAAGCGCACATCAACCAAATAACTGCTGCAGCATATGGGCGCCTAGCAAACCTCAGAACAGCATTCCGACATCTTAATAAGGAATCATTCAGGACCCTGTACACCGTGTACGTTAGGCCCACATTGGAGTATGCGGCACCAGTTTGGAACCCACACCTAGCCAAGCACGTGAAGAAACTAGAGAAAGTGCAAAGGTTTGCAACAAGACTAGTCCCAGAGCTAAGAGGTATGTCCTACGAGGAGAGGTTAAGGGAAATCAACCTGACGACACTGGAGGACAGGAGAGATAGGGGGGACATGATAATGACATACAAAATACTGAGAGGAATTGACAAGGTGGACAAAGACAGGATGTTCCAGAGATTGGACACAGTAACAAGGGGACACAGTTGGAAGCTGAAGACACAGATGAATCACAGGGATGTTAGGAAGTATTTCTTCAGCCACAGAGTAGTCAGTAAGTGGAATAGTTTGGGAAGCGATGTAGTGGAGGCAGGATCCATACATAGCTTTAAGCAGAGGTATGATAAAGCTCACGGCTCAGGGAGAGTGACCTAGTAGCGATCAGTGAAGAGGCGGGGCCAGGAGCTCGGACTCGACCCCCACAACCTCAACTAGGCGAGTACAACTAGGAGAGTACACACACACACACACACACACACACACACACACACACACACACACACACACACACACACACACACACAAATGCTATTCTTTCTTTTATAGATTCCATTCTGTTACACCATAAAATTGCAATAATGCACTGACAATATAACAAAAAATGCCAGTATAACAATGCATCAAGGCGATTCAGATCATCATCATCCTCAGAAAATAATATATAGAAGTTCAAACCTGGTTCTATCAATATAGTAGACAACTTGTCCATGATAATGGCAGGTCCAGTTATAATGTGTCCACATGCCAATGATGACAACATATACACTTTTGTATCTAACCAGCCTTCTTCGAAGTACACACTTGTTACCTGTAAAATTGCAAATGAACATATTAGATCGCTACACAGACACCAACAATGTTCTTTTCTGTCATGTCATCCTATTGACTGATCTGCTGCTAAAACTGTCTACCCCACTTCCAACTTCCACAGTCCCCATCTGGTTGAATCCTCCCTTATATGTAACGTTCCTTATATGAACCTTAGCCCTGGCTTTGTAGATGCCTTCCTTTCCCATTACGTTGTAAAATGCTCCAAACTTCAGAACACCCGTAACTTCTCCATCTTCCCTTTTCCTCTTTCGCCTTTGGGTTTTCTTCTGCCTTGGGTATTTGCCCTTTATTATATTTTTTCCCCCCTCTGTGTTCTTGCTCCTACCCTCTGTGGGCTCCTATCTCCCTAGCAGTGCTCCTCTTTCTTAGTATTTGACTAACTCCATTACTACTACCTCCACTATTACCTCTTGTCCTGTCCCTGTCTGCTGGCCTATATATACTCCCTCCTCCTTTCCTTTTCATCAGTGAGACTTCGTAAATGGTTCAAGTCAAACCAAAACGTCTTTGTAAGCTCCTCACTTCTATGTGTGGGTTATTTGTGTATTATTCCAGTCACGGTATTGTGCCTTTTTTTGTTATATTAGATCATTAGTGAGTTCTTCCAATTCCAACAATAAGCCAATGTACGACAAACAAGACAGCCAGTATGTTAAAAAAAAAAAAATTCTTTAAGTGTATTATAAGTCAGACAAGACAAAAGGCAAAGATCTATGGTTGTCTATTTGCAAAATAATGTATCTTTCTTTTTAAATAAAAAGAGAATCTAGCATACTGTATTAACCAAACTTTTTTTTTAGCACACTTATTGCTACTTGCCATTTAAATACACATTCATCAATAGAGTAGGGGAGTTAGTAGATGGGGAGATGGAGGTATTGGGTAGATGGCGAGAATATTTTGAGGAACTTTTAAATGTCGACGAAGAAAGGGAGGCAGTAATTTCGTGCACTGGCCAGGAGGTATACCATCTTTTAGGAGTGAAGAACAACAGGATGAGAGTATGGGGGAGATGCGCAAGGCATTACATAGAATGAAAGGGGGTACAGCAGCTGGGACTGACGGGATCATGAGAGAAATGTTAAAGCAGGGGGGGATATAGTGTTGGATTGGTTGGTATTTTTGTTTAATAAATGTATAGAAGAGGGGAAGGTACCTAGGGATTGGCACAGAACATGTATAGTCCCTTTATATCAAGGGAAGAGAGACGAAAGAGATAGTAAAAATTATAGAGGAATAAGTTTACTGAGTATACCAGGAAAAGTGTACGGTAGGGTTATAATTGAAAGAATTAGAGGCAAGACAATGTAGGATTGTGGATGAGCAAGGAGGTTTTAGAGTGGGTAGGGGATGTGTAGATCAAGTGTTTACATTGAAGCATATATATGAACAGTATTTAGATAAAGGTAGGGAAGCTTTTATTGCATTTATGGATTTAGGAAAGGCATAGGATAGAGTGAATAGGGGAGCAATGTGGCAGATTATGCAAGTATATGGAATGGGTGGTAAGTTACAAAATACTGTAAAGAGCTTTTATGAGGATAGTGAGGCTCAGGTTAGGGTATGTAGAAGAGAGGGAGACTACTTCCCAGTAAAAGTAGGTCTTAGACAGGGACATGTAATATCACCATGGTTGTTTAATATATTTATAGATGGGGTTGTAAAAGAAGTAAATGCTAGGGTGTTCGGGAGAGGGGTGGGATTAAATTATGGGGAATCAAATACAAAATGGAAATTGACAGTTGCTTTTTGCTGATGATACTGTGCTTATGGGAGATTCTAAAGAAAAATTGCAAAGGTTAGTGGATGAGTTTGGGAGTGTGTGTAAAGGCAGAAAGTTGAAAGTGAACATAGAAAAGAGTAAGGTGACGAGGGTATCAAATGATTTAGATAAAGAAAAATTGGATATCAAATTGGGGAGGAGTAGTATGGAAGAAGTGAATGTTTTCAGATATTTGGGAGTTGACGTGTCGGCGGATGGATTTATGAAGGATGAAGTTAATTATAGAATTGACGAGGAAAAAAAGGCGAGTGGTGCGTTGAGGTATATGTGGAGACAAAAAACATTATCTCGTTATCCATGAAGGCAAAGAAGAGAATGTATGAAAGTATAGTAGTACCAACACTCTTATATGGGTGTGAAGCTTGGGTTGTAAATGCAGCAGGGAGGAGGCGGTTTGGAGGCAGTGGAGATGTCCTGTCTAAGGGCAATGTATGGTGTAAATATTATGCAGAAAATTCGGAGGGTGGAAATTAGGAGAAGGTATGAAGTTAATAAAAATATTAGTCAGAGGGCTGAAGAAGGTTTGTCGAGGTGGTTTGGTCATTTAGAGAGAATGGATCAAAGTAGAATGACATGGAGAGCGTATAAATCTATACGGGAAGGAAGGCAGGGTAGAGGTCATCCTCAATAAGGTTGGAAGGAAGGGGTAAGGGAGCTTTTGTGGGCGAGGGGCTTGGACTTCCAGCAGGCGTGAGTGAGCGTGTTCGATAGGAGTGAATGGAGATGAATGGTATTTGGGACCTGACAAGCTGTTGGAGTGTGATCAGGGTAATATTTAGTGAAGGGATTCAGGGAAACCAGTTATTTTTATATAGCCAGACTAGAGTCCTGGAAATGGGAAGTACAATGCCTGCACTCTAAAGGATGGGTTCATGATATTGGCAGTTTGGAGGGATATTTGTGTATCTTTCTACGTATATGCTTCTAAACTGTTGTATTCTGGGCACCTCTGCAAGAACAGTGTTTATGTATGAGTGAGGTGAAAGTGTTGAATGATCAAAGTATTTTCTTTTTGGGGATTTTCTTTCTTTTTGGGTCACCCTGCCTCGGTGGGAGATGGCCAACTTGTTAAAAAAAAATTTCCTCAATACTGTAAATATTGGCCTTATTGTGATGTTCAGTAGCCAAAACGACATAAAAAGAAACTTTCATTGTTAAAAAAAATTATCACTAAGGTACTCAAATAAGCTAATTTATTAAATTTAAAATAAAGTAATTTTGTAACATTACTGAGGAATTGTACAATACATTATCTACATTACTACAGTACAGTACATTGTATCACCCTCCAAACAATATTTAAAATTTTAAAGTAAATAAACCTTGAAAAATGACAGAGGTTTTCAAAGTATTTACAATATTGTTTTCAAACCAGATACACCACATCATACCAAAAGAATTATAAAAGATATGCGAAATAAATTTATTTGGGTTCTCTAGAAGAAAAAATTTAAACTAATGTTCCTAAGTGGAATACCCTAATTAGGGGACCAAAACACTTACAGCTTCTATCTTTGGTTCTCCTTTGGCTTGAGCTATATTTTCATCTGTTTTTATTGCCGACTTTCCAATTCCTCGAACTCGAATGTCATCCACAAATATTTGTCTGTCGTCAATGACAAATCCAAATTCTCTCTTGTACCTGTACAAATGAATAATAATTTCAGAGTCTAACAATTCATCATTATAAAGGAAAAGATACATACTCACTCTCCATGAAGAAATGGAGAAGAATCCTTCTTCCATAAGGGGTTACTAGACCCTTGCCAGAAGCAAGGGGCTAGTAACCACTTATGGAAAAGGATTTTCTTCTTTTCCAAGTCACCCTGTCCTATTGGGAGACAATCAGTATGTTAAAAAAAGAGAAATGGCCTAATAAGAATAAAAATATATGTACTGTACTCATCAAGAGATCTAGGAAGCACATTAAAATCATACTGCTTATACATTTCTAAAAATATGCTCAAATTTTATATCCTGAACACCTGTCAAATATATTCAGGAAAGTACAATATTACATGCAAAAGTTCTCATTTTATATATATACATTGAATAAAGGTGGGTGGGTTCCTCATGGCAGTCTTCTGCTCACATACTATAAGTGTACCTCATTTTTCTTCAACACATTGCTTTTAGTTTTGACTATACTATTCCTTTAATATAATAGTTATTTGTATATTAGATAAACTCCTAGGTAGTAGACAGCAACCACCCAGGGAGGTACTATCGTCCTGCCAAGTGAGTGTATAACTGAAATCTGGAATTTCTTTTACATGATGGTAGGATTACTGGTGTCTTTTTTTCTGTCTCAAACATGCAAGATTTCAGGTACGTCTTGCTACTTCTACTTACACTTAGGTCACATTACACATGCATGTACATGCATATACAGCCTCTCATTTAGCGACACTCATTTACCGACGCCTCAGACTTACAATGGGCTATGACCAGTATTCATACCTAAATAATGTATATTAGAGCTGATTTCCTCTATTGTTTATTACAATATACATGTACAGTGCACTACTGTATAAACATTTAAAAATATACCAGTAATGTTATAAATGGTGCAAAGGTGACATTAAAACAATATCAAAGATGGGCAACACAAACTCACTACCATTATAGTATGCTCCTCACTTAGCGACGAATTCGTTTAACAACGTGGTCTTAGGAATGGAACTCCGTCATTAAGTGAGAAGACACTGTATATACATACCCATTTGGATTTTCTTCTATTTTCTTAATAGTTGTTGTTCTTTATTTCCTCTTATCTCTATGGGGTAATGGAAAGGAATTCTTCCTCAGCAAGCCAAGCATGTTTTAAGAGGCAACTAAAATGCTGGGAGCAAGGAGCTAGTAACCCCTTCTCCTGTATAAATTAATAAATTTAAAAAGAGTTTTTCTTTTTGGGTCGCCTGCTTTGGTGGAACATGGCTGGTGTGTTAAAAAAATTAGATAAACTATGAAATATTTTTCCTTGGATTTTCATTCCATACAAAACTATTCATGAAAGACCCTTTCATGAAAAACACTGGGTAATCAAAATACAAAAATATTTCCAATAGTATTTCCCTGGAATGCAAGATCATGCAAATACATATTTACCATCACCTATTAAAATATAAAGGTCAGATTCAAGAGAGTCCATAGTGCCACCATCCAGATTGGTGCACGAGCTAAGAAAAATTAATGAAGAATGATACCTAGGCCTCCTGTCACAATTAAGAAGGGATATAATCACAACATGAAATACTCCAGGAATGAATAGGGTAGACAAAGACAGGCCCTTTACGAAGGTTAAATCAAGAGTATAGTTGGAAATTACACTCAGCGAGTCATCACAGGGATATTTAAGACCATTTCAACATGGAAAAGTTAAGAAGTAGAATGAACTGAACACTGACAATACAGCTAGTTTACATCATTCAGCTAAGAACTCAGAGGCACAACAAAGAGCTAAATCTCTAGTCCCAAAACTTAAATCTTGTGTAACAACAAATACCACATTTCGTGGCTTATAAGATGTGGCTTTTAAGACTTGTTTTAGTTCCAATGGCTAGGCATTGGACGTAACTGGAAGAGCTACAGCCCACCCCACACCCCAAATTTATAGCTGACCTTCAGTTTATATGACACAGGGTGGTTTTAGAGACATTTTATGGGGGAAAAAAATGCGTCTAATAAGCTGCGAAATATGGTAGGTAATTACATAAATGTCTGCACTTTTATGCATATACAAATCATACAAATACATGATACAGCACTAACCTTTCCAAGAATGCCTTTCTGAAGTCACCATAACTACATGCATTACTTTTGCTACTAGCTCCATCTTTAACAGATGAGCACATCAGTGCACAGTCTGTACCCTGGTAACGCATATTCAGGTACGCTTCGCAAACAATGTTGGCAGAAGAAAATCCCTGTTGTTGCAGAGAGTCAACACACGTTTTCTCCAGTGCTTCAAGATGCGAGTTCAGATAAAGGAAATTTTCTAGGAAAAAGATAAGAGAAACAATGAAATATGACTATGAAAAATTTTGTGAATTGTGCATTATGATACAAATAAAATGAACTAGGAATAAATTAAAATACTGAAGTGTGCATGTGCAATATAAAAATTCAGTTACATCATACAGTATGTATTCAGAATTAAGTTATAAAATATGACTGAAGCAATAATAGTCTAAAAGTTTATACATTTCTAGAAGCATGAACAATAACTCATCAATGATGCTGTAAAATGACAAGATATGCAATAGCAACATTTAACAAGAAAATTTTACTTTTATTGAAATAAGGTAGTAGGTTGGTAGACAGCAACCACCCAGGGAGGTACTACCGTCCTGCCAAGTGAGTGTAAAACGAAGCCTGTGATTGTTTTACATGATGGTAGGATTGCTGATGTCTTTTGTCTGTCTCATAAATATGCAAGATTACAGGCATGCCCTTGCTACTTCTACTTACACTTAGGTCACACTACACATACATGTACACATTTATTTATACACACTCATCTGAGTTTTCTTTGATTTTATCTTAATAGTTCTTGGTCTTATTAATTTTCCTTTTATATCCATGGGGAAGTGGAATAAGAATCTTTCCTCCGTAAGCCATGCGTGTTGTAAAAGTCAACTAAAATGCCGGGAACAATGGGCTAGTAACCCCTTTTCCTGTAAAGATTACTAAAAAGAATAAGAAGAAGAAAATTGTCAAAGTGGGAAGTCTGAATGTGCGTGGATGTTGTGCAAATGATAAGAAGAGATGATTGTGGATGTTATGAATGAGAAGAAGCTGGATGTCCTGGCTTAAGTGAAACAAAGCTGAAGGGGGTGGGAGAGTTTCAGTGGAGAGGAATAAATGGGATTAGGTCAGGGGTTTCAAATAGAGTTAGAGCTAAAGAAGGAGTAGCAATAATGTTGAAGGATAAGCTATGGCAGGAAAAGAGGGACTATAAATGTATTAATTCAAGGATTATGTGGAGTAAAATAAAGATTGGATGTGAAAAGTGGGTTATAATAAGCGTGTATGCACCTGGAGAAGAGAGAAGTGTAGAGGAGAGAGAGAGATTTTTGGGAAATGTTGAGTGAATGCGTGGGAGTTTTGAATCAAGTGTGAGAGTAATGGTGGTTGGGGATTTTAATGCTAAAGTGGGTAAAAATGTTATGGAGGGAGTAGTAGGTAAATTTGGGGTGCCAGGGGTAAATGTAAATGGGGAGCCTTTAATTGAGCTATGTGTAGAAAGAAATTTGGTAATAAGTAATACATATTTTATGAAAAGAGGATAAATAAATATACAAGGTATGATGTAGCACGTAATGAAAGTAGTATTATTAGATTATGTATTGGTGATAAAAGGTTGATGGGTAGGCCTCCAGGATGTACAATGTTTATAGAGGGGCAACTGATATGTCGGATCATTATTTAGTTGTAGCTTACAGTTAGAGTAAGAGGTAGATGGGAAAAGAGGAAGGTGGCAACAACAAGTAAGAGGGAGGTGAAAGTGTATAAACTAAGGGAGGAGGAAGTTCGGGCGAGATATAAGCGACTATTGGCAGAAAGGTGGGCTAGTGCAAGATGAGTAGTGGGGGGGTTGAAGAGGGTTGGAATAGTTTTAAAAATGCAGTATTAGAATGTGGGCAGAAGTTTGTGGTTATAGGGGTGGGGGCAGGAGGAAAGAGGAGTGATTGGTGGAATGATGAAGTAAAGGGTGTGATAAAAGAGAAAAAGGTAGCTTATGAGAGGTTTTTACAAAGCAGAAGTGTTATAAGAAGAGCAAGTATATGGAGAGTAAAAGAAAGTAAAGAGAGTGGTGAGAGAGTGCAAAAGGAGAGCAGATGATAGAGTGGGAGAGGCACTGTCAAGAAATTTTAATGAAAATAAGAAAAAATTTTGGAGTGAGTTAAACAAGTTAAGAAAGCCTAGGGAAAAATATGGATTTGTCAGTTAAAAACAGAGTAGGGGAGTTAGTAGATGGGGAGATGGAGGTATTAGGTAGATGGCGAGAATATTTTGAGGAACTTTTAAATGTTAAGGAAGAAACAGAGGCAGTAATTTCATGCACTGGTCAGGAGGTATACCATCTTTTAGGAGTGAAGAAGAGCAGAATGTAAGTGTGGGGGATGTACGTGAGGCATTACGTAAATGAAAGGGGGTAAAGCAGCTGGAAACTGATGGGATCATGACAGAAATGTTAAAAGCAGGGGGGGATATAGTGTTGGAGTGGTTGGTACTTTTGTTTAATAAATGTATGAAAGAGGGGAAGGTACCTAGGGATTGGCAGAGAGCATGTATAGTCCCTTTATATAAAGGGAAAGGGGACAAAAAGAGACTGTAAAAATTATAGAGGAATAAGCTTACTGAGTATACCAGGAAAAGTGTACGGTAGGGTTATAATTGAAAGAATTAGAGGTAAGACAGAATGTAGGATTGCGGATGAGCAAGGAGGTTTTAAAGTGGGTAGGGGATGTGTAGATCAGGTGTTTACATTGAAGCATATATGTGAACAGTATTTAGATAAAGATAGGGAAGTTTTTATTGCATTTATGGATTTAGAAAAGGCATATGATAGAGTGGATAGAGGAGCAATGTGGCAGATGTTGCAAGTATATGGAATAGGTGGTAAGTATTAAATGCTGTAAAGAGTTTTTATGAGGATAGTGAGGCTCAGGTTAGGGTGTGTAGAAGAGAGGGAGACTACTTCCCGGTAAAAGTAGGTCTTAGACAGGGATGTGTAATGTCACCATGGTTGTTTAATATATTTATAGATGGGGTTGTAAAGGAAGTAAATGCTAGGGTGTTTGGGAGAGGGGTGGGATTAAATTATGGGGAATCAAATTCAAAATGGGAATTGACACAGTTACTTTTTGCTGATGATACTGTGCTTATGGAGATTCTAAAGAAAAATTGCAAAGGTTAGTGGATGAGTTTGGGAATGTGTGTAAAGGTAGAAAGTTGAAAGTGAACATAGAAAAGAGTAAGGTGATGAGGGTGTCAAATGATTTAGATAAAGAAAAATTGGATATCAAATTGGGGAGGAGGAGTATGGAAGAAGTGAATGTTTTCAGATACTTGGGAGTTGACGTGTCGGCGGATGGATTTATGAAGGATGAGGTTAATCATAGAATTGATGAGGGAAAAAGGTGAGTGGTGCGTTGAGGTATATGTGGAGTCAAAAAACGTTATCTATGGAGGCAAAGAAGGGAATGTATGAAAGTATAGTAGTACCAACACTCTTATATGGGTGTGAAGCTTGGGTGGTAAATGCAGCAGCGAGGAGACGGTTGGAGGCAGCGGAGATGTCCTGTTTAAGGGCAATGTGTGGTGTAAATATTATGCAGAAAATTCGGAGTGTGGAAATTAGGAGAAGGTGTGGAGTTAATAAAAGTATTAGTCAGAGGGCAGAAGAGGGGTTGTTGAGGGGGTTTGGTCATTTAGAGAGAATGGATCAAGTAGAATGACATGGAAAGCATATAAATCTATAGGGGAAGGAAGGCGGGGTAGGGGTCGTCCTCGAAAGGGTTGGAGAGAGGGGTAAAGGAGGTTTTGTGGGTAAGGGGCTTGGACTTCCAGCAAGCGTGCGTGAGCGTGTTAGATAGGAGTGAATGGAGACGAATGGTACTTGGGACCTGACGATCTGTTGGAGTGTGAGCAGGGTAATATTTAGTGAAGGGATTCAGGGAAACCGGTTATTTTCATATAGTCGGACTTGAGTCCTGGAAATGGGAAGTACAATGCCTGCACTTTAAAGGAGGGGTTTGGGATATTGGCAGTTTGGAGGGATATGTTGTGTATCTTTATATGTTTAAGCTTCTAGACTGTTGTATTCTGAGCACCTCTGCAAAAACAGTGATAATGTGCGAGTGTGGTGAAAGTGTTGAATGATGATGAAAGTATTTTCTTTTTGGGGATTTTCTTTCTTTTTTGGGTCACCCTGCCTCGGTGGGAGACGGCCGACTTGTTGAAAAAAAAAAAAAAAAAGTGAATCTAATGATAAATACATTATTTTAAACGTAAGAACAAAAGTTTAAAAAGACATGCCTAACTACATTCACATTCATACCATAGTAACGCTTCACATCTTTGTTCATCATTAGGTATTACTGCATCTATTATCTATTTATCTGAATTTACTAAGATTCTTTATTGTCTTTAAGGAAATGGCCACATACAGACATTCCAGATGCCTCTTTATTTTAAACATTTGAATAAGTACCTAAAGTATTTATCAATAAATTCTACATGCTGATTTGCCATGCATAAATGTGAAGCACTAGCCATTTACTCACAACAGGAGACAAGTGAAAAGAATGTGAACCATATTTAATAAATCCAAACGGTTCAAGTGAAAATGAAAAAGAAGAAACATGTATATATTAGTGCATCTTTGATGCACTATTCTTTTAAAGAATTTTTCATCCTTGAGGTGGAGACCAAGATCAGAATCTGCCAAAGGCATCAAATTTTCTAACAATTCAAGTCCTGAAGGAGCACTTTATCTTGTTAAAGTAGTCTGCATGCTAATATGGCCGTCATAAAAGTGGAATACTCACCATTTACTAATACTGAGTATATGGTGACTATTCCTCAAACTCATAATATTGCTCTTACTGAGAAACAAAATAGTTATCAAAGAATAAGGCTTGTCTTCAAGCAAAAAAAATATAGAAGCATATAAACATCAGGAATACACAGCAAACAATTACAGTGGAGGAGAGATTTTGTTTGAAAGGAAGATGCAAACACTGCTAAAAGAAAAAAATGTTACCAACATGGTACACTATGAATTTGTGCTTGCTCCAATAATGCTTCTAATTTATATGAATGACTTGACAGAAGAAACTTAAAATTAAAAGAAGTTTGGACGATGCCAAGACCCTACGCAAAACTATGTGCTTTATGGCTGCTGTGTGATATTAAAAAAGTAAAGATATGTTGAAGTTTTTAGACTGTATTATCAGCACATCTCTGGCAAGACAGTGATGGAGTGAATGATGAGAGTTTCTTATCTTTCGGATCGCCCTGCCTCAGTGGAAAACAGCCAATGTGTTAAAAAAAGGTCTCCAGGAACAAAACATAATGCAAGAAATGAAATAATAAAAAGTAAGAGAAATAATAAAAGTTAGAACTAATAGATAAAAGCCATACCTGGCTCATAAGTTTTTGAACATGGTTTCCCGTGTTTCATGTACTAATCAGCAAGGGCCTCCCAAAACAGAAAAAACCAGATATTTGTGGATCATTACAGACTGCATGCCCAGTGCCCGTGCCACAGCACATGCATGCTGGCCACCAGCTCCACCGAAAACAGCCAGCACATGATGTGATGTGTCATAGCCCTTTGCCTGAGATTGATCATACATTGTTTTAACTTTAAAATTTGTATAACAATTTACCAAAATACACATCGAATTATCCTTTCATTTGTCCCGGCCTAAAAAAAAGAAAATAAAAAAAAAAAAAAAAAAGGGAAATTTAAAAAAAGAGCATTTATGGGGGAAAACATATGAAAATGGTTTTTTTAACAATATGCTTTTTGGATCCAACTGAATAAGAACAATTCACTGTTTTACTACAGGTTGGGAGAGGAAACAGATAAATTTCACCTGTTCTGCCCATGCAACAGTCACATGAAATTATTATTTTATTTTTTATAATCAAAAAGAAGCGCAAAACCCACAGGGCTATACGCGCTGCGGGTGGGGAAGGAAGCGGGGGTTTTGGATGGCAAAAGGGGAGGAGGGATGATCGGGTTACAGAAAACGCGGGGCAGGGGATAGTACGGGGGTAGAGGGTTTTGCAAAGATTGAAGTAGAAAGGGCTGAAGGTACGAATTTGTGAAGTAAAGTCAGTTGTTGTCAAAAAGTAAATGAGAGGTCTGGATAAAAGGGTGGTCCATCAGCGAAAGGAAGGTAAAGAGAGAGCAGCAGAGCAAAGAGGGGACGACGGAGGTAATTGTTCAAATGGAACAATACTCTTCTCCGATGGGGGCTGCCCACCTCAAAATTTTAAGGGGGTGAGGGACTGTTTACATCGTCTTCAAGTTTTTCCCTGTTCTATCAACTTCTCTGTACTCGATAAAAGAAGCCTATGTGTAGGCGAAATTTTCGAAAAAAAGAACCTAACTGTTGCATAGTGTTTACCTAACAACCTGTCGGTTTTTTTACCATTTTTATTGTTCAAAAATTTGGGGAATGATGCTTTTCAAAAATTACAGGAACGTATGATAGGGGAAAAGGGCGGAAAGCTATGAGCCGGGGTAGCATTCTGTATGGTGACGATGCGCGTAGCTTTTAAAGAGCATGAAAAAATATCTTTTCCCAACATGGTGATTTGCCTTGCCAATATGTGGCAGAAAGATGGGCAGAGAGGAAGTCGGTGAAAAGGGAAAGAATTTAGCCCCATTGTCAGTCGAAAGAGCGTGGAAAGGAGTAAAGGAGTGTCGATCTTTTCTGAAAGACGAAAAGGGGAGAAGTACATCAGCAGGTAATTGTCGTTGGGTTTAGGCGGGGACCGAGTTGGTCCGACGGGGAAGGGCCCGGCGATTCGAAAAATTGCCGCACGTAGGGGAAAGGGGCCCGGAAAAGCATATTCAGGGAGAGCGAAGGCAGATAAACAAAGGGGTCAGTCGAGCCTGGGTCCCTAAAAAGGTGGGAAACGCACCCAATGGTAAGGGGGCATGAGGATGCCCGAAGAGTGGCCAAAGACGAGGCGGGGTCAGAAGGGGTGGGGACAAGAAGGGGCCCGGGGGGTAGCGGGGTTCAGGGGACTAGGGCTCCAGGGGTTTTAGGTTATTTCTTTTTTTTGTTTTTAAGAAAAAAAGAAAAAAAAAAATAAAATAAAAAAAAAAAAAAAAAAAGGGGAGGGGGAGGGAAGTTTAGGGGGGAATGAAAGGGCCAGAAATCCCCCCTCCGCCCCCAAGGGGACCTCACACCGCAAGTAGGGGTGCAGATGCAGCATGGAACCCGCCATCCCCTACCATCACCAAAAAACCGGCAACCCCGGGATAGCAACCTCACATTTTGCCGGCTCCCTCGGTGGACAAAAGAGAGGGCGGCCGGAAATCCGCCACAAAGCTACCTCTTCGGCCACCACCCCGCCCAAAAAGGGGCCCAAAAACCCCCGGCCCCCGAGACACCCCAAAACCCCCTCCCGGGAACCGGGGGGCCCCGGGGCCCATTCCTTCCCAAACCCCCAAACCCCCCAAGAAAAGGAAGGGAAACCCCTACCCCTTCCCCCCTGGAAAAAACCTGAAAACTAAGGCCCCCCAAATATGTGAAATTTAAAAAATTTAAAAGAAGAGAATAAGGAAAAAGAAATAAGAAGAGAGGTTAAGGTTGTTCGAATGGAAAAAGGGGTGTTTTTTGAAAAAAAATTTTAAATTTTTGGTAAATTTTGGGGGGGTAAATTTTAAAAGGGACATCCAAAATAAGGGTTTTAAGGGGGGGAAGGGAGCATAAAAAAAATTTTTTTTTAGAAGAAAAAAAACATGTTTTTTAAATTTTATTTGTCTTTAGGTGGGGAAAAAAAAAAATTTTTAAAATTTTTATTTTTGGGGCTAGAAAAAATGAAAAGTTACCCTTTTTAAAAAATGGGGAATTATGGCAAGGAACAGTTTATGTCTTTTAAACCAAAAAAGAGGGGGGGAAAATCAAAACCAAAACCTGGAACATTAAACCAAAATTTTAAAAAAAAAATCCGTTTATAAATTAGTCTTTCCAAAATTTTACCCCAAAAAAATAAAATTCTAATAATGAATTATAAATTTAAATTTTTAAAGTTTACAAATTTTTACAAAAAATTTTTTTAAAAACCCCTTAATTTTTTTTTTTAAAAAAATACCAAGAAAAATCCTTTAAATTATCAATATGCCCCTATACCTGTTTTTTTAAAAAAAATCCTTTGCTTTTTTAATAGTTTACCCCTTTAAGGCAATTTCTCATTTTATTTCTTAATAATTTTAAAAGGAAAAATTTATCAATATAAGGGCTTTTTTAAATTTTTGATTTTTTTTACCCTTTTAAAATTTTAAATTTAAAAAAAAAAAATGTTTAAACAAAAAAAAAAAGAAAAATCAAAAAAAAAAAAGCCCCTTTATGGTCCCAAAAACCGTCTTTACTTCCCTGTTGAAAAAGAGGAAATTTTTTTTTTTTTAAAGGGAATTTTAAAAAATTCAAAAATTTTAATTAATAAATTTTGACCCCAAAAATTTAGGGGATTTAAATCAAAAATTTGATTTTGCAAAAAAAAAATAAAAGGGGAAATAATTAAAAAATAGAAGAAAAGGTATTCCAAAAAAATTTGAGTACAAAAATTTTTTTGACTTAAACCCCCTTTAAAAAAAAAATTATCCTTTTTTTTCCCTTTTTATAGGTTGGGGGTGAAGCATTAAATATGGAAAAATTTGCAAAGGGTTTAAAAAAAAAGTTAAACCCTGATTTGAGGGAAAAAAGGGGAAGGATTAAATATCTGGGAAAAAAAATTTTTTTTGGGGAAAAAAAATAGAATGTTAGGTATAATTTTTTTTTTTTTTTAAAATAGGCCCCGGGTTTAAACTGAGCAAAAGGGGAAAGGGGGGACCTTTTGGCAATTGGGGTTTGGAAAAAAACAAGGGGGGTTTTAAAAAAATTTGTGGCAAAAATAATTATAAAAAAAGACAAGGGGTTTATTTTTCCATAAAAAAACTGGGAACAACGAAAAAAGGGGGGAAAAAAGGGGACCCAAAATTTTTTTGGGGGGGGGAAAGGGGGAAAAAAATTTTGGGGAACATTTTTTTGAGGTTAGGAATCATGGGAAAAAATTTTTTTAATAGATGTGTTGTTGGAGTGTGAGCAGAGTAACTTATGAAGGAATTCTGGCAAACTGGCTAGCTGGACTCAGAGTGTGTATGTTGCAGTCAGAGGGCAATCTGTGAAGACATCACACTTCAGAAAGACAGCAATTGAGTTAATGCTGGTGAATGTGCTTTCTTCTTTGGATCACCTTGCCTTAGCAGGTGATGGCAGTTGATCTAAATTTTTTTTTTTTTTTTTTTTTTTTAATCAGTCAGCCTTCATCAGTTTTACATCATTATGTGTATCATCTACCAACAAACCTGTGTGAGAGCTCTGATTGGTCGACACATAGCTTCATTAGCCACACGAATGAACCCCATAGCTACTTCCTCTATACTAAGGTGTTTGCTTATGTCAGAGTTGTAGATATTCACCTAGAAAAATAAAGTAGAGCATTAACAACATTTAAAAAACCATGGGAAATACATACCAGGGAACAGGTGGGGCTTAAACTCATGGCAAGAATGTCCTAAAATTTGCAGGCCAGTTCAAGTCCCCACCTGTTCCACGATTTGTTTGCAATCATGTTATTATGATTCTGAGAGTCATAGGAAATACATCTATGGAGACACCTAAGAATAGTACATCTGGCAGGAAAAAATAAAAAACAAAAAACAGATTGCATTCTCTGATAGCAAGTCTTACAATTTATGGAATAGGTAAGAAGTCAAGAGCAAAATAAAATAAAAAATATTGCATTTTTTAAGGTTACAGTAGTTCTGTATTCAATATACTACACCCTTTGCCATTCATGTAAGATTTTCTTTGTATTTTTAACCCTGGAGGGTTAGCCACCCAGGATAACCCAAGAAAGTCAGTGCGTCATTGAGGACTAACTTATTTCCATTTGGGTTCTCAATCTTGTCCCCCAGGATGTGACCCACACCAGTCGACTAACACCCAGGTACCTATTTGCTGCTAAGTGAACATGACAACAGGTGTAAGGAAACACGTCAAAATGTTTCCACCCCTCTGGAAATCGAACCCAGGCCCTCCGTGTGTGAAGCGAGAGCTTTAGCCACTAGGCCACAAGTACTTTACCTATCCTCCATTATTCTGCACAAGAAAATTTATGACAAATATTGAACAGAGGTGCAGAAAGAATCTGAAGGGCAGAAAGGAGAATATGATGATTCTTATTATGATGTTCATATGGAAATCACCAAACCATCAAGGGTCACACAGCCCATAGGAAAGGGAAGAATCAGATCCGATTCAAGACAAGGGCAACTCTAAGTCCCTGAACCAAGTGCCTTCCTTGGTGAGAAGATACTGAAGAGCTAGAAAACTTACTTCATTTGTTATTTTTTTAAAAGCTTTCATTGTACTTTCTTTATCAAGTGGTTCATTCTCTTCAGGACCAAAGATCTTTGGGAAGTAGTGTGGTAAGAGACGACCCAAGGCTAAATTTGCATCAGTCACTGCGAGCAGCCCTCCTTTTTTATAACACACAGGACCTGAAAGATCAGAACTAAATAAAATACTTGGTGGAATACAATTAATGTGTGCATGTGTGTACACATGAAAGTGTTGAATGATGAAAGTATTTTCTTTTTGGGGATTTTCTTTCTTTTTGGGTCACCCTGCCTCGGTGGGAGACGGCCGACTTGTTGGGAGAAAAAAAAATAAACTGTTTAGCCAAAGATTTGGGAAAGGTATTATGTGCTAAACAGCATGTTATTTTAAGAGAAAAAATGGAAACAATATAATATATAACATCATTAAAGAGTGAATTTAGAAAAAACCCATTGTTTGAAGTAAATTAAGGAAATGTTACAAAACTGAAATGGAATAAAGCCTTAACAGACAGTACTTGGTGTGTGGAGACAAGATTCTTCTAATCACTTCCTGACTGCAAGAGTCATGCTACTGTCAGCAACAAACTAAACACACCATCAAATTATAGCAAGTAATAAAAGCCTCATCAATCTTTTTTCACCTTAATGGCTGTCTCCTGCCAAGGCAGGGTTACTGAAGGAAGAAAATACATTCACCATCACTCATTGCCTTTCCAGAAGTGTGCTGACATAATTCAGATTACCATCAGACTAACATCCCTGCCCCAGCAACCTCATGATATTCATGGAGTTGTTGGGGCAAAGGAAACAGGGAATGGGAGTTAATCAGGTTTGATACAAAGAAGAGAAGGGAAGCTCTAATTCCTTGGAGTGAGCCCTTTACTCACATCAAGGAATCCCTTCCCCAACCTTGAAGGGCCCTACATGTACAGAAATTTAACATAACTTGCAGCTATGTAAGCCTGTCTGAAATTTAATCATAAATTGAAAGATGGATTTTATAACCAACTAAGGTGATAACATTAATGTTACAGAGATGGAGAGTATGGCCTTGTACATGCTGTATTATATATAACAAACAGCAGAGCTGACCAATTCCTCTACTCCCAGTGATGGTTGGTTTAGATGACTCTTCTATCCAAACAGTCCACAGCCCAGCCTAAGGTCAAGCTTCCCTGGTGATTGCTTGGTCAACCAAGCTGTTTGTGTTAGTGGCCTGCATGCCCCAATGGTCATCACAACCCGACTGATCTGGCAATTATGCCCACTGTGATAGCTGTGTTAAGCTCATACGAATGTAATCGAGCAATGCCTCCTAGCTAAAGATACCCTAGTCTGGATACTCAAAGATTCTTTCAAATCACCTGAAGATTTATACTCATCCTTGCAAGGTGAAGACTGCCCTCCCAATTTACAACACCTGAAGATTTGCTAATGAAATTTAAATTTAGCTTATTAAATGACCACCTCACCTAATCTGAAGATTAAACATACCATTACCTGATGGGAGGATATCTAGATGTTTCTGTTTTATATTTGGTGTATTTAAATCATAAAAGTGGAATCTAAATAAAGCAGCATATACAGAATAAGCCAGAGCATTGTCACCTGGATGAGCTCCAGCAGATTCTGGACCAACCACAAACATCCCAGAGCGAAAAAACAACCGAGATCCACCACCAGCTGCCACAGTGTTCACATCTAGCTGGAAGCATGATGAATAAAATACTACTATTATAGAATTACTGCTTAGAGCATAGGATTTAAGGTGAAAATTTTATGCGACTGCATTTAAGACTGCCTGCATTCTATTGTCTTTTGGGTCACCAGTTACTAAACTGGGTAACTGTTACTAATATACTGTTATTACAATAATCACAAAACAAAAAATTCTAAAGTCCTTGAGTTATATTATAACCCATATCCATATCTCATTTCAATTCATAGGTTGTAAGCTACAGCATATTTTGATAAAAGGGAAAAATCCCCATGCTATTTAGGCCAAACAATGGGTTGCCATGTTGATTTGTGTTCTTGACACCCCTTCATAATTAACAGAAAATTAAAGGTATCCAGCATCACATTTTGCTAGAAATAACTGGAGAATTCTTATTATATTTATAAATAATCCCTAAACCTACATGGGTCATATAGCACTGCAGTATAGTGATACATAATGGCAAAGGCTGCTGGAGTTGGGAGTTAGTGAGAGTAAAATTGATGCAGCATTGCTTTTTCTTGCAGAATATCTTTCAGTTTTAGAGACATTTTTGGGCTGGAATTGTACTTTATTTTTATGTTGTTGTTTAAGGATATAATGAATTTAATCAAATCTCCCTTTGAAAAGGACTTAGCCCTGAACCAACCCACAATGTTAAATGAGGCTTGCATGTACTGTACATCCTATCTACGGATTTTTTTTCTTAAAAATTCAGATTTCATTTACATTCCTGTTACAGTACGTATATATAACATTAGCACACACACAATATACAATAACCCCATACCTGTGGAGCTTGAATAGTTACTCCAGCTGTTGTACTTTCAAATACATGCTCATATTCACCAGCATAACGGGATACATCAGTAGATGTGCCTCCCATGTCAAATCCAATAATGGGCTGGCAGCCAAAATTCTTATAACTAGTCATAGCATAGCCAACAACGCCACCTGCAGGTCCCGAAAGAATAGCTCGCGACCCAATGAACCTGTGAAATAATTGTGTTTAATATAATCCCTGGTTCATAGGTGACTGATTAATTAAAAACCTAAAAACTACCTAAAAATTATCTTTTCATGTTTTATATATAAAAAATATGCAGCAATCTTTGCTCAATGAACATTCGCATGATGTAATTAGCTTCCTTTTTATGAGACTTCTTGTAGTGAATCTCATCATTAACTTTCAAAAATTCAAAACATCCACTTTTTTTGTAATGTCAGCACACCTCTGGCAAGACAATGATAGTGATTATTTTTTTTTTTTTTTTTTTTTTTTTTTTTTTTTTTTTTTTTTTTTTTTTTTTTTTTTTTTTTAAGGTCACCCTTCCTCAGTGGGAGACAGCTGGTGTGCTAAAAAAAAAAAAAAAAAAATTATATATAATATATATATTATAAAATATATATATTATTTTATATAATATATATATTTATATATATATATAATTTTATCTATATATATATTATATATATATATATATTATAATATTTATATATATATATATTATATATATATTTATATATATACCCCAATACAGTGGACCCGGTTAACGAACTTTTTTCATTCCGTAGTATGTTAGGTGCCAGTACTGACCGAATTTTTTTCCAAAGAATATTTGTGAAGTAGATTAGTTCAAATTTCAGACCCCCAAAATACAGTACAAAAGCACTTACATAAATACATTACATAATTGGTGCATTTGGAGGTGATCGTTTAAGGGCGGGGGTCCACTGTATATTAAATACCCAAATAATTAACTTTGATGATACAGTTCAGAATCTAACCTTTCCATTTGTGTTAGCCCTCCATCACTTTGCATGAAAAGAACATTGACTCCTTTTAGCCGATTCTTGAAGCCAGAAGAAAATCCCTGTCAAAAGAAACTAATCAATATCTCAAGACTCTTGCTTTATCTCTACATGAAAACTAAGAGTTTGCACAAGTGAAATAATAGATTAAATTTAATGTGGATCAGAGCTATTTAATGGAAAGAAAAGTGGAAACTGGTCACATGAAAAGGCAGACAAAATTAAAAGCATCAGATATTGGCAATTTTTTTTTTTTAACACGTCGGCCATCTCCCACCGAGGCAGGGTGACTTAAAAAAGAAAATCACTTTCACCATCATTTACGCACAATCACTCTTTGCAGAGGTGCTGAGATACAACAATTTAGATGTCACTCCAAACAGCCAATATCCCAAACCCCTCCTTTAAAGTGCAGGCATTGTACTTCCCACCTCCAAGACTCAAGTCCAGCCAAATGGTTTCCCTGAATCCCTTTACAAAATATTACCCTGCTCACACCAACAGTTCATCAGGTCCCAAAAACCATTCATCTCCATTCACTCCATATCCAACAAGTTCACATGTGCATGTCACTAAAAGATCACATTAATGAATTGCGAGACACTCCTTTGCCACCCCAGCAAACTTTTGAAAACCCTTTTTAATATATGGATGAAGAAATGCTGAAGAAAATATTGCTCAGTTATTTGCTTTCAAAAAGTTTATCCACTTTAATCTAAGGGGTTTCTCCATTGCATTTTGATAACACTTGCTAGCATGTCAGTCTTATATGGCTCTTCCTTGCAGTTTTAAATATACTATGTAAAAAACAAAGTACAGCCTCTCATCACTTAAGGATGGAGTTCCGTTCCAAAGAACACATCGGTAAACAAATTTGTCGCTAAGTGAAGAGCATACTACAGTGGCCCCTCAGGTAATGATGTCATCGGATAACGAAAAAATCGGATAGTGACACGAATGTGTCCGCGTGGCCTGAGCAGGCCCGGCCACTCCATATGCAGCTAGTGTGCCACTGTTTACAAGCCAGGGAGGACGATTCCACGTGTACATGTGATATATTTTGTATTATTCCATTGTTTTTAGCGCTTGTAACTGCTAAATAAGCCACCATGGGCCCAAAGAAAGCTTCTAGTGCCAGCCCTGTGGTAAAGAGGGTGAGAAATACTATTGAAGTGAAGAAAGAGAATATCACAAAATACGAAAGTGGAGTGCGTGTCTCCGAGTTGGCCAGGTTATATAAACCCCATTCAACCATCGCTTCTATCTTGGCCAACAAAAAGGCAATCAAGGAAGCTGTTGTTGAGAAAGGTGCAAGTAGTATGTTTACAAAACAGATATAAATACTTGAAGATGTGGAGAGATTGTTGCTGGTGTGGATCAACGAGAAACAATCATTAGGGGATATTGTTTCTCAAAAACAATATGTGAAAAGGCAAAGCAGTTGCATGATGATCTAATTAAGAAAATGCCTGGATCTAGTGCTGATGTTAGTGAATTTAAGGCCAGCAAAGGTTGGTTTGAGAGATTTAAGAATCATAGTGGCATACACAGTGTGATAAGGCATGGCGAGGCTGCCAGTTCTGGCAAAAAAGTGGCTGAAAAATATGTGCAGGACTTCAAGGGGTACATAGAGGATGAACAATTAAAACCCCAACAAGTGTTCAATTGTGATGAAACAGGCCTGTTTTGGAAGAAAATGCCAAACAGGACCTACATTACTCAGGAGGAAAAGGCACTCCCAGGACAAGCCTTGAAAGACAGGCTAACTCTCATGTTTTGTAGTAAACCATACCATGGGTGGGGTTTGAACCCATGGTCATAGAGTCTCAAAACTCCAGACCATCGTGTTAGCCACTGGCTAGCTTCAATAAGATTCATCTAACTAGGTATATTTCTACACCATAGGAAGGTTAGCATAGTCACCACTGACCACAAATGCAAGGTTTTACAGACGAATCTCCCATTAGCATGGTCGTGTCATTAAGATTTCGCGAGTCATTTTGTAGTAATGCTAGTGGGGACTGCAAAGCAAAGCCTTTGCTTGTGTATCACTCAAACTCCCAGAGTGTTCAAGAAAAACAGTGTCGTCAAGACTAAATTGTCTGATGTGGAGTGCAAACAGTAAGGCATGGGTCATTACGGGCATTTTCCTCGATTGGTTCTATGACATGTTTGGCCCCAGTGTGAAAAAATACCTCCTGGAAAATAAATGGGAACTCAAGTGCCTCCTGTTAACAGACAATGCTCCTGCTCATCCTCGAGACTTGGAAGAGTGAATTGTGGGGGAGTTTAGCTTCATCAAAGTTAAATTCTTGCCCCCTAATACCACTCCTCTCCTCCAGCCCATGGACCAGCAGGTCATTTCAAATTTCAAAAAACTGTACATCAAGGCAGTTTCATAAGTGCTTTGAAGTGACCTCAGACAGTGAACTGACTAAGAGAGTTCTGGAAAGATCACTTCATTAACCTCAGTTGCATAAACCTTATAGGCAAGGCTTGGGAGGGAGTGACTTGCAGGACTTTGAACTCTGCTTCGAGAAAATTGTGGCCAGAATGTGTACAAGAGGGATTTTGAAGGGTTTGGGGCTGACCCTGAGGAGCCTATGCCAGTTGTGGAATCTACTGTGGCATTGGGGAAGTCCATGGGGTTGGAGGTTAGTGGCGAGGATGTGGAAGAGTTGGTGGAGGACGACAATGAAGAGCTAACCACTACAGAGCTGCAAGAGCTTGAGGTACAACAGCAACAGACCACAGCTCAGGAATTTCCTTCAGAGGAGGAGGAAGAGAGATGGAGGAGGTTGCCTTTGTCAAAGATTAAGGACATTTGTACAATGTGGACAAAGGTGCAAGCATTTATGGATGAACATTACCGACACAGCTGTTGCAGGCTGTATTGGCAACATGTACTAAGACAATGGTGTATCCCATTTTAGGGAAATCTTAAAGAGATGCCAGAAACAGAGCTCTCTGGACAGATTTTTGGTGCAACAGGGGTCCAGTGACTCAAGCTGGTCCTAGTGGCATTAAAAAACAAAGAAGGGAGGTAACCCCAGAAAAGGACTCGTTACCTAAAGTCTTTGGAAGGGGAATCCCCTTCCATAAACAATTATAAACTCCTCCATCCTCTGCCCCCCCCCCCTCCCATCTCATCACTCATCAATAAGTCCTTGATAAAGGTAAGTGTCATTTCAGTATTGTTTATTCAGCATGTCTCATTGTTTTTTTGTGCAGGGAAATGTATTTTTTTTTTTTCAAACAAACCAGCCATATCCCACCAAGGCAGGGTGCCCCCCCCCCAAAAAAAAAAAAAAATTAAAGTTTCTCTTTTTAAATTTAGTAATTTATACAGGAGAAGGGGTTACTAGCCCCTTGCTCCTGACATTTTAGTCGCCTCTTACAACACGCATAGCTTACGAAGGAAGAATTCTGTTCCACTTCCCCATGGAGATAAGAGGAAATAAACAAGAACTAGTAAGAAAATAGAAAAAAGCCCAGAGGGGTGACGGTGGGAGACGGCCGACTTGTTGAAAAAAAAAATGTATGTGTAGTGTGACCTAAGTGTAAGTATAAGTAGCAAGACATACCTGAAACGTTGCAAGGTCACGAGACAGAAAAATGGATGCCAGCAATCCTACCATCATGTAAAACAATTACGTACAGGCTTTTGTTTTACACTCACTTGGCAGGACGGTAGTACCTCCCTGGGTGGTTGCTGTCTACCAGCCTACTACCTATAGGGAAATTTACATTCCATGTAAAAAAATTATTTTGTTTAATACTTGTGGGTGTCTGGAAGAGATTAATTGGATTTCCATTATTTCTTATGGGGAAAATTAATTCGGATAACGAAAAAATCGGTTAAAGACGAGCTCTCTGGAACGGATTAATGTCGTTACCCGAGGGTCCACTGTATAATGGTAGTGAGTTTGTGTCAACCATCTCTGATATTGCTTTATTGTCACCTTCGCAGCATATATAACATTTCTGGTATATTTTTAAATGTTTATACAGTAGTGTACTGTATATTGTAATAAACAGAATAGAGGAAATCAGCTCTAATATACTACATTATTTAGGTATGCATACTGATCAGAGAGCCCGTCGTAAGTCCAAGTCATCAGTAAACAAGGACGTCGCTAAGTGAGAGAGGCTGTATAGTACTATGACAGCCAACAGACTGTATATGTATAATGCTGTAATGTTGTTATAACCATTTACTAATTATTATGCTACAGAAGTTCCATTACAGTCAGCCTACCAACTATTGCACGGCTATCGCTAACACGTTATTTTAGGTACAGTAAATCACGATAATATTAATTCAAACACATTAGGTAGATAAAACAGAACATTAATAATAACCTTAACATAAGACCTGATGCGAGGTGTGAGGTAAGCATCGGAGCAAGCAGTGAAACCACGAGGGACTACCTTCACCATAGGCATAACATGAGATGAAAGAGAGACATGACTGAAACCCAACTCTTCAGCAATTGCCCCAACCTTTTCCTCATGGACCTTATACCTGAAAATAATTGATCAGTTTTAAGTTTTACAAAGACCACTGAGGGTTATAGTTTGCTACAGGTGTGTTCTAAAATATTTTCTAGCTCATTACATCAATATAATCATTTCTATTATGAAACACAGTTTGCAGGATTCCTCAACATTTACATATTTATCATATTCATATGCAAGTACTACTAACTACTGTATATTCTGTATATTCAAATTAAATTTTTTATTACTTTTAATGCAGTATAAAAATAATGTAGTTCGCAAAGTAACATTTATGAAGGGGTTCAGGGAAACCGGCAGGCCGGACTTGAGTCCTGGAGATGGGAAGTACAGTGCCTGCACTCTGAAGGAGGGGTGTTAATGTTGCAGTTTAAAAACTGTAGTGTAAAGCACCCTTCTGGCAAGACAGTGATGGAGTGAATGATGGTGAAAGTTTTTCTTTTTCGGGCCACCCTGCCTTGGTGGGAATCGGCCAGTGTGATAAAAAAAAAAAAAAAAAAAAAATAAATAAAAAAATGTACTAAAACAGTGGTAGGCACAAAAGAAAGCCACTAGCATGTAATGCATTTCAGGCAAACTAATCCTAATGCTTAAAGACTATGTATATGTAAAAATACCATTGTGGTATTGTTACATATTTGCAGTCACATGTTGTATTGTGATTTCTTCCATAAAGACAATATATTATGATAGTACCTAGATTTATTCCTTCTCATCCTGGTTATGATACACCCTTCATTATTACCAGTACTTAGCTCCAGTTTTCATGGGGGTAAAAATGACCTTTATTCAGAAAAGATGGAAATTACTGAAGGAAGCAAGATTTAAGATTGAATGGCATCTTGCATCTCAAAACATTTTTCAAACGTAGTTTGACTACCGTCTTCTACAAAATGTAGTACAAAACTTTTCTTGGCCCAAAGACAGATTGTATAAGTAACTTACTGCAACTCCTGCAATGTGAAAGAAAATACCCCAGTTTAATATACACTGAGCATCTGAGAGTGTTTAAGAAGCAAATCTTAAATACACAACATCATGTCTAGAACACTTTACAATTTTCTCCAACTTATGGGTTACCACAAACTGGTGAGTTACATTTAGACAACACTTTAGTCTGTCCTGTATCAAGTAGTGATTTGTTGTCACAGGATGGTCCATTAATGTGAACTGCATTAATAAATTTAGTGAAAAAATAACTGTGGTAGCAACCATTTATGCCAATCAGCTGACTCTCTCCCAATACCTAAAACATGTTTTATCTGCACTGAACACCTAGAGTCCATTAAATCAAGGTTTAACTGTACATGTAAATATTATTTGACTGGTGATAAGATTTTGAAAATAAATAATTTAAGAAAATACAGTAGGGCCCCACTTACACTGCAGGTTAGGTTCCAGGCTACTGCCGGAAAGCAGACATCGCCATTTTTTCCACTTATAAATGGACCCCCGGTTCATGATCAGCTCCCAATGCGACCAATTATGTAAGTGTATTTATGTAAGTGCGTTTGTATGTGTATGTTTGGGGGGTCTGAAATGGACTAATCTAATTCACAATATTCCTTATGGGAACAAATTCGGTTAGTATGGCACCTGAACATACTTCTGGAATGAAATAATATCGTAAACCGGGGGCCCACTGTATTAAGTTAGCAATAGAACTAGGCATTAAGAACAATAAAAAGTAAACTACAAACACAGTACACCCATTACTTACCTTAAAATATTTGTAGTCCTAATGTAGGGTGAGAGGCAAGTTATTTGTAGGAAGTCAGGTTTGGGAAGTTTGGTAGCCAGCCAGGGCAGCCCTCCCCACCCCTGCCCCACCCCACCCACATATAATGTAAACAAACCAGGTGACTGGGTCTGGTTTTCGTCACTTTACATTGTGTACAAGTTGTCTCCACGTTGATAAAGTAGAATAAATAGACACTCCCATTCTCCTGTAACATTTTTCGAAGAAATGACGCTCTCAGTGAAGGCATACGAAAGAAATAATTTTCTAGTTACCCCCAGTAATATTATAGTGACATTTTCTCTATGTTGGACTACAAGTCGCCTGACTACCACATCTCTCATTTATGTTAATTTATTCTACTGTGGGGTGTATTTCCCCCCCCCCCCCCAACAAGTCGGCTGTCTCCCACAAAGGCAGGGTGACACAAAGAGAAAGAAAATCCCCAAAAAGAAAATACTTTCATCATCATTCAACACTTTCACCTCACTCACACAATCATTGTTTTTGCAGAAGTGCCCAGAATACAACAGTTTTGAAGTATATACGTATAAAAACACACAATATATCTCTCCAAACTGCCAATATCCCAAACCCCTCCTTTAGAGTGCAGGCATTGTACTTCCCGTTTCCAGGACTCCAGTCCGGTTATATAAAATAACCGGTTTCCCTGAATCCCTTCACTAAATATTACCCTGCTCACACTCCAACAGATCGTTAGGTCCCAAATACCATTTGTCTCCATTCACTCCTATCTAACATGCTAACGCACGCTTGCTGGAAGTCCAAACCCCTCCCCCGCAACACCTCCTTTACCCCCTCCCTCCAACCTTTTCGAGGACGTGGAAAAAGACACTTATGTACAGTTCAGGACATTTATTAAAGGAAACGTTTCGCCACGAGTGGCTTCTTCAGTCCTAATACAGAGAAAACTAGGACTGAAGAAGCCACTCGTGGCGAAACGTTTCCTTTAATAAATGTCCTGAACTGTACATAAGTGTCTTTTTCCACATCTTGTCGGTATCACCATACCATTTCCCCTTTTCGAGGACGACCCCTACCCCGCCTTCTTTCCCCTACAGATTTATACGCTCTCCATGTCATTCTACTTTGATTCATTCTCTCTAAATGACCAAACCACCTCAAACCCTCTTCAGCCCTCTGACTAATACTTTTATTAACTCCACACCTTCTCCTAATTTCCACACTCCTAATTTTCTGCACAATATTTACACCACACATTGCCCTTCGACAGGACATTTCCACTGCCTCCAACCGCCTCCACGCTGCAGCATTTGTTACATAGTGTGTTTATTATATAATTTTGAAAAAATTATCAGATGGATTAATGGAAAAGTCTATACAGTGGAACCTCAAATATTGAACTTAATCTGTTCCAGGAGTTAGTTCTAAATTCGAAAAGTCTGAAAAGCGAAGCAATATTTCCCATAAGAAATAATGGAAATAAAATTAATCCGTTCCAGAAACACAAAAATATTCACACACAAAGAAATACATTTTATAGAGATTAATTATAGTTTTACATACACACAACAAATACAGTGTTCAATTATGTATTAATAAATTTAAATAAACATAAAATAACATTTTACTTACCTTCATTGAAGATTGGTGATGGCATCTGGAAGATATGGAGGAGGAGAGAGGGAGTTGGGGTTAGTGTTTGGAAGGAGAATCCCCCTCCGTGAGGACTTCAGGTATCAAGTCCCTCTCTGGGGTTACTTCCCTTCTGTCTTTTAATGCCACTTGAACCAGCTTGAGAGTCACTGAACCCCTGTCTCACAAAACTGTCCACAGTCCTCTGTTTATGGTGCCTCTAAGATTTCCCTAAAATTGGACATGGTTCTGTCACTGAACTTGTTGCAAAGATGGCTTGTTTCACCTTGGTCAGGGTGGTACTTCTCCATAAATATTTGGACATCATTCCACTTGGACACCATTCCACTTCTGTGTTATTTCCTTCTTCACATCTATGGTGTTTCTCACTTTCTTTACCACAGGGGTAACACTAGCAAGTTTCTTTGGGCCCATTGTAGCTTATTTCACAGTCCCACAAGCACTAAACACAACGAAATAATTTTAAAATGTTTGAATGAGAGCGCAGGTTAGTGTTCACTCAAGCACTAACAAAACCAGACTGGCTCACAACGCCTGCGTGGGGACACAGACAGAGCGGGCTGCCGGACAGGTCCGGTACCCGGCGATTTGAAAATAGGGGCGAATTCGATAACAGGGACAAAGTTGGTTCGAAAAAAGGGTTCTATTTTCGAAGAGTTCGATAAGCAATACGTTCTAAATTTGAGGTTCCACTGTATTAACATAATATACGACATTTAATGCGCCCAAGAGATTACGTATTACATCAAGAGTAGAGACTTAGTGATTTTAGTGTGTACCTGTAAGTGTATTTAGGTACTGGTACACACAAGTATAATTATCAAAGTACATATGAAATATGCAATAACTTTAAAACACTTGAAATTTTGGAAAGTTTCCAGACATAAGAGAGAGACGTGCTCACAGATAATGTAAACAAACCGGGTGGAGCACGCTGTATTTGAAAGACCGCTTGCCATAGAGCAAGTTTTAGCCATAATTTGAAGTCACCATTTTAGCAGAACACTAAGGCGAGACGCCGTAAAGCCAGGCCCTACTGTACTGAAATTAAATTAGGAAATAAATTACTGTATCTTGTATGAAAAAATATATACATTTAGGGTAAAAGCATAAAGTAAGCCCTTTTTCTAACCTGTAAGATCAAGTACTTACATATAAGAATGTATTAACACCACAGCCAGTGATTTTATGCCCTTTTTCAAAATTTCTTTCAAATCTTGCTGTAGCTTGGCTTCATCCAGTTCTTTTGTTACTAGTATTTCATCACCAGTTGATCCTTTGCTCAAACTCCAGTGATTGTTAACTACTTCACTTTCACTTGTGTTCTGCCGTGGTACCACTCTTTCCTGCACTTCAACCACCTCTTCGTACAGAACATCTGGACACACTATTTCCTGCAATGATTTCGTACTAATTTACATAAAATCAAGACTGTCCAAAAAATCTGGTACCAGCATACAAAAGTTATTACAATCTATTCCATCTAATGTTAATGTCCTACAGTCATTACAGAGAGAACCAAGTCATAATTCCAGATGAAAAATTATTTGGGTGGAAAACATTTTGAACATTTTGTCTTGCATGATGCTGAGGAGATGCTGAAGATATTTCACTATATAATGATACAATATACTATACAATACAGTAAAACTTTTCATTTACAGATTTTGGTAATTTTGGACATAAAAAATTGTGCCAGACAAAGTAGATCAAAGTCCAAAATTCTGGATTTTGTCTATAACAGTAGTGACTGGTTGTCTTTTGAAGTATCAGACCAAGTTCAATGATTCTTTGTCCAGTAGGGGCCAGAGCAGCCATGTCCGCTCCAGCCTCTACTGGTTCCCCCAAGCCATTGGCCACCCATGCCATGCATTTTTCCCCATGGATTTACTGTGTTTGTGTAACTAACATGTTAAGTAAAATGTAATTAAGAATGGCTTCTAAAGCAAGTGTTGCTGCCAAAAGGAAATGAATGGCTCTCAGTGTAAAGCAGAAACTTCAACTAATAAAGAAGGTCGAGTCTGGCATCCGAGTGGCATGGGTGTGCAAGGAATATGGTATCGTAAGACAATGTCTGATATACATACATAGACTCAAGGATAAACTTAAGACACTATGCTCTTACATTTAGGTAGGTACTAGTGGAACGTTATAGTTCCTCTGACTCAAAATAAATGTTATTCCGAGTCACCGCTACTGATCATGGCAGTTTACACCCAATGTCTACCAGGAAAAGGTAAGGGAAATTACTGAAACTATGTAAAGGACTATACAATTACTGCACAGTACTCTACTGCAGTACTACAAGTTACATCTGTATGCTTAGTGTCTGGTTGTCTTCTGCATCAGCAGAAGACAACTAGACAATTATGAAAAATTAATTTCATAATTCAGAAGTTTTGGACAACCAGCAATATCACACCCTCCCCACCACTGTTAGTTAATGAGGGAATTCACTGCACTCACAACATATAATTAGAACACTGCATGTCTAGACTTCATGAGGAACTCTAGCGAGTTTTAATTTTTGGGATGAGTAACCATATTAAGAGGCTTTTCATGTAGAGTATACAGAGCACTGCTTCAACAGAGGCCTGTCTGTACCTATTTATAGACAGAGGATCAGAGTTACCAGTAGTTGTCTACATTGGCCTCTTAATGATTATCAAACAGCTTCACTGACTTTCAGCTTCAGAACCCAATCATATTTTATTCTGAAACGTCTATGGTGTTTGCCTCCATCTTTCTATCTACTACCATGTATGCTCCAAATATCACTAAGCCTGAAAATATGCATCTTGTACCTCTGTTGTTCATCTGTCTTCATATGCCTTGTCTGTATGTGTGTATATTTAATTTTTTCCTGGACCACCATGATAATTTGTTAACAATATCCACAATGTTAGGCAAGACACACATGCAACAGTTACACATCTTTAGGCATAAAATATCGACCTGTTGGTATTTTATGCCTAAAGATACCGACAGGTCAGTATTTTATACCATTTTAATATACACAATATCCACAATACCTACCAAATCAAATATATTTGGACGAGCTTGATTGCCAATGTAAAGCAGATCCTTGAAGCCTTTAGTTATGGCTAAAGCCATCCTCTCCCCCTTTCGTTCCAAGAGAGCATTTGTAGCAACAGTCGTCCCCATACGTATCCAACCTATATTGTTAGTTTCTATAGATGAATTTTGGGGAATACTTTTTCCAGTCTCCTGAAAAATACATGCAGATGATCGTAGGGTTTTACAAAGCTTAAGTTTTAAACCCAACACTAATAATGAACAAATATTAGGCATCCATTTTTCATTCAAGACAACAGAAAACTGCAATTATGTACCTTATTTACTATAATCATTATACAGTGGACCCCCGCATAACGATTACCTCCGAATGCAACCAATTATGTAAGTGTATTTATGTAAGTGCGTTTGTACGTGTATGTTTGGGGGTCTGAAATGGACTAATCTACTTCACAATATTTCTTATGGGAACAAATTCGGTCAGTACTGGCACCTGAACATACTTCTGGAGTGAAAAAATATCGTTAACCGGGGGTCCACTGTATAACTAATAGTTTTATACCCATACACAGATAAGATAAAGATAAACATTATTTAGGTTATCTCAGACCATCTGTTCGATTGTTAATAAAAACTAACTACTCATACTGTACATAAATTTTTTTTTTTATTTATACTGTATTTAAACAATATGGCATATACAGAGGTATTATAGTTCAGTGCCAGTAAACAGAGTATTACAAGAAATAAATAAATGTATATCACATCCACTGAGTACCACTAAACCAATTGGATCATAGTGCCTGGGAGATTTGAGTAATCAATTCCTTGAATCAAAAGCCCTTCACTGGCACCATGGCACCTCTACCCTTAAAAAGACTGTAAAGCAATCATTATATACAATTACTATACTACATCAATGATAACCAATGACATCAGACTCAGTCAAGAGGTCCTAGTTATGAACATTAATATCAATATTTTATTTAATTTATGAAGCACTAACTGTTTGGTTATTCAATGCTTTAAAAACATTGTTTTTAACATTGCTAAATTTACACAATTATTAACAACTTGTTACTTTCACGACCAATTTGCTCTTACAGTATGTACATAAATTATAATCACGAAACCGTGTTGTCATCGTCTTCGCCTTTTCTTTTTCGCCTTTTCTTTGTCACTGTCATTTTCCTTTCTACAACTATTACTACATCATTCGTGGTGAGCTAAACCTGTAGGGGTCTAACAATACTTCCAAAATGGGAGGGAATGAGGTTAGATCCAAGGTGAAAACAGATGCACCTCCTTGGATCAAGAGCATCTCACGGCTATATAAATTATTAGAGAATTCATTAAAAAAAAAAAGTTGTCTCTAAACTCCACATGAACATTATAAGAGACAACAGCCCATTGGTCATATACTATATATAACCACTTACTCGATACTTAAAGTGCCAGTGAGCGCTAAGACAGTACGGACCTGCTCTATGACTCTGCGTATGCCCTCTGTGGGGGCATCCTGGTAGTTACTGGGGTCCTCAGAGAGCAACTTCAGCACTCTCTCCTTACCCCCTGGGCACCGGGCATACACGTCCGTGAAGGTACCACCGCGATCTATGGCGAAGCAAAACTTGTCCTCCATCCTCGTAAACTGATGACACTCGCTGAGGACGGTGCAAAAAATGGCGAGGAAATGTGTCCGGGGCGGCGGAGATCACCTCTCCTTCCTGGATGTTGCTGATCTATGTTGGGCTCTAAGGGCTACTAACAGCTGTCAACATCATCATCATCTCTTCATCTCCGCCACCTCATGATGATAATGATAGGTTTCTCTGAGTACAGGTACACACAAGTATAATTATCATGTGTAAATTACTTAGGATAAACCCCCCAAAAAGTCAACCTGTATTATTATAATACCTTACCACCCTTTATATACAAAAAAGTGTCACAAGTACTATCACTAATCATTGCAACACTCTTTAACAAATCCATTGAATCCTCCACCTTCCCTAGAGCTCTCAAAATAGCAAGGGTCACCCCGATCCATAAAGGAGGAGACCAAACAGAGTTGAATAACTATAGGCCAATATCCAATTTACACCCTCTCTCAAAAATCTTCGAAAAATTAATTCATAAACGAATCTACTCCTACCTCATCTCCCAAAACATTCTCAACCCCTGCCAATTTGGATTCAGGCCTAATAAAAATACTAATGATGCTATTATACACATGCTAGAACATATATACACTGCAATAGAGAAAAAAGAAGTCCCACTGGGATCTTCATTGACTTACGTAAAGCTTTTGATACAGTTGACCATGACTTGCTCCACGTAAAATTGTCACACTATGGTATTAGGTCACTCCCTCAACTACCTCAAGTCATACCTCAGAAAACAGAAGCCAATGTGTGTATGCAAATGGGGCAAGCTCTTCCGCTCAACCAATTACAGTTGGTGTCCCACAGGGAAGTGTCCTTGGCCCTCTTCTCTTTCTCCTATACATAAATGACCTACCAAATGCTTCGCAATTACTCAAACCCACACTTTTTGCAGATGACACTACATACGTCTTCTCTCACCCGAGCCCAGTCACGCTAGCCAATACTGTAAACACCGAATTACAGAAAATATCTACCTGGATGAGGACTAACAAACTTACACTAAACATTGACAAAACCTACTTCATTCAGTTTGGTAACAGAGCTACAGATGTACCTCTTAACATAACGATAAACAGATCACTTATCACAAAGCTAACAGAGGGAAAATTCTTAAGAATCCACCTTGATAATAGACTCAAATTTCATACACATATACAACAAATTTCTAAGAAAATTTCCAAGACTGTAGGCATACTATCAAAGATACGGTACTATGTTCCACAGTCAGCCCTCCTGGCCCTCTATCACTCTCTTATTTACCCCTATCTCACCTATGGAATTTGTGCATGGTGCTCAACAACAATTAACCATCTCAGACCACTAATTACCCAACAAAAGGCTGCAGTTAGAATGATGATAAATTCTCACTACAGGCAGCACACTCCACCAATATTCAAAACACTCAACCTACTCACCATACAAAACATCCATACTTATTACTGCACCTATTACATACATAGAACACTTAACTCTGATATTAACCCTCCCCTCAAACATCTCCTTGCCAACCTCAACAGAACACATGACCATAACACAAGGCACAGATCACTCTTTGATGTTCCTCGTGTCCATCTCACACTATGCAAAAACTCAAAGCACATAAAAGGCCCTAAAATCTGGAATTCATTACCTGTAAATATAAAAGAAACATTACCTGTTTATAAATTCAAGTCTCTTCTCAAAGATCACTTACTCACTCAAAACCAAATAAATACTGAATAACTGAACCTTATAAATTGTATATCCTATATGTTACTCACAATTATATCACACAAATGTTAAACCTAGGACCCAATCTAACTTTGTTATTTTTTTAAATACACTACCTAACAGAATACTCCATTCGACTGAATGTACAGCAATGCATGCAACCATATGACCTGTCTTTGTAATACTCATTTGTGCTTTATAGTTATCTGTTTACAATAATGTTTTATCACTGATTTCATCATTGCTTAGTTAATCTTAAGTTAATTTTAAGCCAGCCCGTAATGCTATGCATATAAGTGGCTTTGGCATGCTGCTCTTACCTGTATTTTTTGTACCTCTGTATGTATGCTTAAATTACTAAAATTACTAAATAAATAGTGATAAAAATGATAATGACTGATAACGAAAATGATTGATTAAAACGATGCTAATAATGATTATAATGATAATCAAAATGAAAATGAAGGTAATGATTATGACAATGATTATCATTCTAATTATGAAAATGATAAAAATTATGATAATTATCACTAATTATCAATTATAATAATGATGAGAATGATAAATGATAATGGTGTATATTTCTTCAAGCCATACAGATATTATTTACCTGCCCCGTGACCTGGTGGCAAAAGCTCTCGCTTCACACGATGAGAAGTCCGGGTTCGATTCCCGGCGAAGGATAGAAACATTATAATAATAATAATAATAATATTATCTTTATTTACTACAAGTACATGTACAAGGTATACAGTCCTAGCTGACAACAATGACATACTACTATAGAAAGTCCCTTGTTATGCTCCGCATTTCGGTACATTTCGGGCAAATTAGGTCAGTGTCCCAGGATGCGACCCACACCAGTCGACTAACACCCAGGTACCCATTTTACTGATGGGGAACATAGACAACAGGTGGAAAGAAACACGTCCAATGTTTCTACTCTGGCTGGGAAACGAACCCAGACCCTCGCCGTGTGAAGCGAGAGCGTTAGCCACCAGGCCACGTGTTTCTTTACACCTGTTGTCTATGTTCACCCATCAGCAAAACAGGTACCTGGGAGTTAGTCGACTGGTGTGGGTCGCATCCTGGGACAAGGACCTAATTTACACGAAAATGCTATGCATAACAAGGGGCTTTCTATATACTAGTACGTCATTGATGTCAACTAGGCACATGTACTTGTATTATTATTATTATAATCAAAAAGAAGCGCTAAACCACAAGGGCTATACAGCAACATGTACTTGTAGTAAATAAAGATATGTACTGATACAGTACTAGGCACAAAAGAAAGCCACTACTTATGCAATAATTATATATATATATATATATATATATATATATATAATATATATATATATATATATATATATATATATATATATATATATATATATATTATATATATATATATATATATATATATAATATATATATTTATATATATATTATATATATATTATATATATTATATAATATATATATATATAATATATATATTATATATAATATATATATATATTATATATATATATATAATATATATATATATAAATATATATATATTATATATATATATATATATATATATATATATATATATATATATATATATAATCACACTGGCCGATTCCCACCAAGGCAGGGTGGCCCGAAAAAGAAAAACTTTCACCATCATTCACTCCATCACTGTCTTGCCAGAAGGGTGCTTTACACTACAGTTTTTAACTGCAACATTAACACCCCTCCTTCAGAGTGCAGGCACTGTACTTCCCATCTCCAGGACTCAAGTCCGGCCTGCCGGTTTCCCTGAACCCCTTCATAAATGTTACTTTGCTCACACTCCAACAGCACGTCAAGTATTAAAAACCATTTGTCTCCATTCACTCCTATCAAACACGCTCACACATGCCTGCTGGAAGTCCAAGCCCCTCGCACCACAAAACCTCCTTTACCCCCTCCCTCCAACCTTTCCTAGGCCGACCCCTACCCCGCCTTCCTTCCACTACAGACTGATACACTCTTGAAGTCACTCTGTTTCGCTCCATTCTCTCTACATGTCCGAACCACCTCAACAACCCTTCCTCAGCCCTCTGGACAACAATTTTGGTAATCCCACACCTCCTCCAATTCCAAACCGAATTCCTGCATTATATTTCCCCAAAAAATTGCCCCCCAGACATGACATCTCCACTGCCTCCCGCCTTCTCCTCACTGCAACTTCATCACCCCTGCTTTTTACCCCATATAAGGGTTGGGAAAACTATACTCTCATACATTCCCCTCTTTTCTCCCAAAGGGCACATTTTTTGTCTCCCCAACTCCTAATGACCACTCACTTTTTTCCTCATCAAATTCTTTTTATTTACCCCCATCTTTCGTAGACCCATCCGCTGACACTCCACTCCCAAATTTTTGAATCATTCACCTCCTCCTACTCTTTTCCCTCCAATCTGATATCCAATCTTTCATCACCAAATTTTTTTTTTTTACCCTCATAACCTTACTCTTTCCTGTATTCACTTTTAATTTTCTTTTTTTGCACACCCTACCAAATTCATCCCCCCAATCTCTCAACTTTTTTCAAATCCCCCAAGAGCACAGTGTCATCGCAAAGGCAACTGTACAATCCCACTTTATGTGTATTCTTTATCTTTTAACCCACACCTTCCAAGACCCTCGCATTACTTTCTAAAACCCCATCTATAAATATTTAAACAACCCGGGACATCCCCTTTCCCTTTGTCAAAGGGCCTACTTTTACGGGGGAAATTTTTTCCCCTTTTTTTCCACTACTCTAACTTGAGCTCACTATCCTCAAAAAAAACTCTTCATGTTTTCATAACCTACCCCCTACACCAAAACCCGAAAACATCGCCACATTGTCCCCCTATCCCCCCCTGTCTACGCCTTTTCCAAATCATAAATGCCACAAAGACCTTTTTTAGCCTTATCTAAATACTGTTCACTTATTGTTTCACTGTAAACACCTGCCCACACACCCCCTATTTTTCCCAAAAGCCCCTTGTTCTGCTACCTATCTCCGTTTACTCTTAATTCTTTCAAAAATAACTACCAAACCTTCACCAGGTAACTCAACAGATTACCCCCCTATAATTTTTGCACTCTTTTTTGCCCCCCTTTCCTTTTTAACAAAGGAACCTAAATTATTGGAGCGCTTGAGGTTCCTAAACCTGTATTCCCGGGAACCAAGGGAGAGATACATGATTATAACACCTGGAAAATCCAGGGGACAGTACCGAAAACTTGGGGACACAAAATACTCACTCCCGAAAGCAAAAGATTGGCAGACATGCCCCACCCCCCAAAAAAAGCAGGGGTGCACTAGCATTAAGAACATACAATAAGTGTCGGGGGCCCGAGACTGTTCAACGCCTCCCAGCACAAAAGGG